AGTAACCACTTAACACCAGGTGNCTGATGGATCCGTAAGGACGTGGCCCAACTAATGCGTATGTAGCTAACGTCGGACCAATGCTCGAAAGACGACCGTAATCGCTAACACCTCAAGACTTTGTATCATTCTATTTATATATCTTTAAATTTTTACTGGTGGTAGGACCTCTTGTGAGTCCGCGCGGGTAGGTACCACCGCCCCGCCTATTTCTGCCGTGAAGCAGTAATGCGTTTCGGTCTGAAGGGTAGGGCAGCCGTTGTAACTATACTGAGATCTTAGAACTTATATCTCAAGGTGGGTGACGCATTTACGTTGTAGATGTCTATGGGCTCCAGTAACCACTTAACACCAGGTGGGCTGTGAGCTCGTTCGCCCATCTAACCAATAATTAAAAAAAAACGTGAAGCTAAAACTTTGGAAATTGCGCCGACGGAGGAGTACGAAATTTCCCACACTTATAGAGAATATAGAGGAGTGCAGAATGTTAATATTTTTCTTAAATTATGCATAAAAATACATCAAATTAATAAAAAAAACATTACACACACGCATGCATACTATTTGTTTATTGTCAAACTTTTCTTATTGCTTATAGTCTGTGACCAGATCGAGAATAGATTGGATATTGTTTGTCTTTATTAATACCTATTTGTCTTTAATGTGGTCTTAGCGAAATCTGTTATTATATATAAGTATAATAGTCTTTGACAATAGAATCATAATAGTGTACATACCTATAATTTCAAATGTAATTATACTCGAATTTCGACTTTTTTTATTTTTTATTGCTTAGATGGATGGACGAGCTCACAGCCCACCTGGTGTTAAGTGGTAACTGGAGCCCATAGACATCTACAACATAAATGCGCTACCCACCTCGAGATATAAGTGCTAAGGTCTCAGGCGCCACCCACCTCGAGATATAAGTTCTAAGGTCTCAGTATAGTTACAACGGCTACCCCACCCTTCGAACCGAAACGCATTACTGTTTCACGGCGGAAATAGTCGGGGTAGTGGTACCTACCCGTGCGGACTCACAAGACGTCCTACCACCAGTGATTACGCAAATTACAATTTTGCGGGTTTGGTTTTTATTACACGATGTTATTCCTTCACCGCGGAAGTCAATCGTGAATATTTGTTGAGTACGTAGTTCATTAGAAAAATTGGTACCCGCCTGCGGGACTCGAACACCGGTGCATCGCTACATACGAATGCACCGGACGTCTTATCCTTTAGGCCACCAGGGGACCACTAATTTCTGGAAAACTAATATGTTGATAACAAGCATTATCTAGCTGATCATTAGCTAAAGTATCCGGGCTTCGACATTGATTATATCATTCTGAAATTCCCCAGGATTACAGTATAAGCGTTGGGATGACCAGCTGGAACTTTAAAAATGTATTTGTAACGAAGCTTCTTAATCCGGGATGCGGATAGATTTCACGTCACGTAACAAAAAAACGTTATGCCCTCTTTATGCGTCTATCTCTATCTCTCTCTGTGCTCTCTGTCTGCCTATCGGCTGTGCGTACTAGCAAGTTAGATGCTGTGACAAAATATTTAACAATTTATTAAGTACTGAATTTTTTATTTTTATTTTGATTCAATGATGTCTTTTAATTATAAGGAACTTATTACATAACCCAGAACTCTAAGCCCATTCGTACACTTTTTGATCTGAAACATCCTTGAGCTAACGGGCTCAATGGGCTTGAGAAGTGTCGTAAAAATGCAGTCTCCGTTTTCAAAGTGGACCGGAGTTATAACCCAATCAATGGACTATCAGTTACTAATGATGGCTGTGAGTCTCGTATGATCAGCAATGCTCATTCTCCCTCAAAATGCTGAAGACCCAGGCTGCTTTGCCTAAATGCGGCTAATTTTGTCGCATTTTTTTTGTCTTTATTGGCATTAAAAATTTTCAACTATAGATGTAAAGATTTTGTTTTGGACGCTGGCCAATTGCGCGTGATATGTGAAAAACGTGATCTGCATTTAAATATGTGTTCTATGCTTACGTGCATAAGAATGCTCGTATGTGCCTCCACAGGTCTTTATTTTATGTTTTTGTAAAAAAAAACTGACGTCACGCGACGCCCGTCATGTTTGTTTGCATGAAACATAAAATTACATAAAAAAATTTAGATTGAATATCAAATTAAGTGCGTGAAACATATAATATTAGGCCGAAAATATTCGGCCTAATATCTCAAGGTGAGCCGGTTTGCGCATGAACTTCCAAAAAAATTAACAAAAATATCTCTCCCTATCAACAAACAAATTTTAATATAGGTACATACTTTTATTATTGAATTTATCTACACTGTGTATTATTACTCGCTTTTATTGTGCACAGAATTATCTGCCGATAACCTTCATGTCAAGGATGTCTTTTGAATTGTCAACAATGAATCGGGTAGATAGAACGCAAATCATGTTTTTGAAATTGCGTTAATAGGTGCACGAGTTCACGGCCCATCTGGTGTTAAGCGGTTACCGGTCTTCGTGAATTGATTCCCGCCACGTACGATATGAATTAGAAGTTTTGATTGAAATGTACAAAAGCTACTGCACTGCTTATTACGCTGGTATGCGACTCTGACATGACGTCTTATAAATCGAACTCCGGCTGCACGCACGAAAAAGTGTCACGTTCCGCCTGAGCGTGCGAGCGAGAGCGCGGAACAAGCTTCTTCGGAGATCTTCTCAGTGGGTCGCGTTTCCGATCCGGCGGTAGATTCTGCGAAGCACGGCTCTAGCTAGGGCCAGTGTTAGCAACACTCCCGGTTTGAGCCCCGTGAGCTCACCTACCCGTCTGGGCGTAACTGGAATAGACTCTTAGGCTACCGGCAATAGGTAGGGAAAAAAGGCGGAATATCGACTATTGCGCAGTTTGATTGATAGGTCTTAGGAATCGGACCTGTACGGACTTAGCGCGCGCACATATAACGTTTTTAATATATACTAATACATAAATCTACAGTGGTTTTTAGGGTTGTTCCATTATAACTACTGAACCATGCATCCGATTGACTTGAAATTTGGTATCCATGTAGAAAATACATGTACTTAATGGATAGGCTAATATCTATATGAGTGCTGGGACTCCCTAATAATAATGACCACAAATAATAATGTTAATTTTAAATGCCCAACGAAGCAGGCGAGTACATACTCCTAGTAAGTTAATAAAATTATGTTGCTGTGAAATAAGCATTCATTTATGTGTTTATTTTTAAGTTAAAGTTTTTTATAAGGCACTATTTCGAAAATCCTTTAGCAATTTTATTGCAAAATATGCTAGAAATAAGCTCAGCAATGAAAGGGTTAAAAACTTAAAAAGAAACAAGCTTGCATCACAGCAAACTAACGAACTAACAATTAATTTCATCCTTTTTTATGCTGTCGCTACCGGTTAGAATATTAGAGCCTATTAGAGCGAAGTTTTCTTTTTATATGACCCTTTTAGGCGGACGAGCATACGGCCCATGTGATAGTGAGTGGTTATCGTCGCCCATGGACTTCAGCAATGCCAGGGGTAGAGTCAAGCCGCTACCTACCCTTGAATAGTTATGAAATTATATATCGTCACAGATCCTTGATCCGTGTGCAAATTATCGATTGAGTGAAAATGACGTTTAAAGATTCCGCTAAACACAAACAAACATACATGCATAACAGGCTAATAAAAGCGTTGCCTGGCAACGCGATTCGGGCACCAGTATAATAAGACGCCTCTTTGACATGGTTTAATACTTACACCCGTATCCATAAAGCCACCACTTCAAGGATCTTTCAATTAATTATAATCCTCTTATCATTTCATAGAACTAATCTTTGTTTAACATATATTTATTATCTTGTCCTTATCTTATCTATACTTTCTATTACTAGAAAGTTTGGAATCACAGATAGATAGCACCACGAAAAATGAATCGAAATATTTTTAAAGAAACATTTTTATTTTATTGCTTAGATGGGTGGACGAGCTCACAGCCCACCTGGTGTTAAGTGGTTACTGGAGCCCATAGACATCTACAACGTAAATGCGCTACCCACCTTGAGATATAAGTTCTAAGGTCTCAAGTATAGGTACAACGGCTGCCCCACCCTTCAAACCGAAACGCATTACTGCTTCACGGCAGAGATAGACAGGGTGGTGGTACCTACCCGCGTGGACTCACAAGAGGTCCTACCACCAGTAAAAATAGGAAGGCAAACAAAAAAATATATATGGAAAGAGTCCTCAATAGTGGTTAGTGGCATTGCTGTTGTCCTTGAGCAACTGCGAATATGAACTATCAGGCGGTATGCTCTTGTTTTCCTGTAATAGAAAAAACCGATGACGCTTATAGCGTTTGCAAGGTATTTCGTAAATGCGTAATCAAGCCAAACTAACGCTCGCGTCGCACGAGGTCATTGACTCTGCAAATCAGCTGATAAAACTTTATTACATGACACCTTCTTCAATGTTATCGAGTTTGTATTCAGCAGTGTAACAGACTTTCTTAACATTCGCAATACTTGGGCGTTATAAATGTTCTTTTAAGACGCTATTTACAAACGCACTCAAGGTATATCTGGTAATTCATAAACCAAAGACTGTATGTAGTTCACATTGGCCACTTTCGTGTTTTTTTTTGTACCCAATCATTGGTAGCCTAAGGGGCTATTCCAACATCACGCGGACCGATGGTGAGCTCACGGGCTCAACCTGAGAGAATTTATATCACTAGCTCCTAGCAAGGGCAGTTCTTCGTAAAATCTACCAGCGGGTCAGAATTGCGAGCCGCTGGGAAGATACGGCGAGAAACTTGGGTTGTGTTTACGGGAAAGAGCTATGCACACATTTCATCCTATACGCAAGCTACTTGAGATAATCTATTGAACTAGCATTAAAGTAAACTTCATCAAGGACCTCTCAAATGACACACGTTTTGCTCATACGATACCAATCGATTTTATAAAGCGTTATTTTGTCTTTGTTCCAGAATGTTCGACTCATTCTGAATCAGCACGGAAAACCGGGAAATTATGGTAAGCGCCGACCTAACGACCGCCAGCCCAACGACAATGTCGGAAACAGAACGTAAGTCATTGACAAAACGTATCATATCTTCGCTGTCCTTCTTTAAAGACAAGAAAAAAGATAAATGCAAGAACGAGAAAGAGAAGCAGACTGAAAATAAAAATGTGCAAGCACAGAACGAAGACAAACCGAATCCCGTTGAGAAGATACTGGAGAACCTGCAGAAGCTAGAGATTGCGAAAGAGAACACGCGAAAAGAAGAAGAAGACGATGAATCGGAGTTCTTCTGTTTCAAATCAATAGAAGAAGACAGGAGAAGCGAAAGGGTCGACTCGCATTCCTCTGAAGACAGCGGTTTCGTTGACACAAAAGAGGTCGTTGAAGGTTTAAAATGTTTGAAGATCGAGAAAGACGAAGTTAAAAGTGGAGAAAAGAAGAAACAGATTGTGGTCCTCGCTAGGAAACCGCCGAAAGAGAAAGTATATTGCCGCGTGGCGAAGCCTTATGATGCCGAAGACTTTTACAGACAGGTGAGCTTAAATCTAATTTTTTTAATGCAGCTATCCATCCCAAGATTAGAATATATATAGTTTTAGTTTTTATTTATTGCTTAGATGGGTGAACGAATTCACGGCCCACCTGGCGTTAACTGATACCGGAGCACATACATATCTACAATGTAAATGTCGCCACCCAACCCGCGACATGGGTTCTAAGATCTCAGTTTTTACAGTAATACGGTTGCCCCACTCTTCGGACCGAAAACCAGGTAGATTGGCCCCGTAACGCGTTACGTAACGAAGCGTCTTACCCTCTCATAAGAAGTTATCACTTAAAAAATTGTACTAGTCTGCGGAATATGAACATCAGCATCACTGGAGACAGTATACCGGGCGCTTAGACGGCCACGCTGACAATATTTTCGGTTTTTATGTAGAACCTCCCTATGACCAGACTATGAGTCTTTGCTCAATCAATTTAGCACAGTGTTTCTTATCATTCAACGTAAACAAGGAATGAATCAACTCATATTAACGCTATTTGAAGTAATCTACTTGAGTGTCCTTATGAATATAGCAAGCGCTCCGGGCGTTGGCTGGTCGCGCAACGCTAATTGAATATCAAATATTTTGCCAAGCGCGCACGGGAAAACCTGTGTTCAGCATGAATATTTATAGACGCGCTTGAAGAGAATCTAAAGTTAGTACCGTTGATGATGAGAAGCCTTGAAGAACGAGTCTCTTTATTTTTGCACAACCAAAACACCGTTACAGCTTTCGAAGGACGCAAAGGAGTAGGACGCGAAAAGTTTATTTACTATAAATCGAAATGCAATTACACGCTTTGACTATTGACCTTTGAAAAGGCTTTAACCAAGTTTCTTTTTGTAACGAACTAAAAATTGTATAACGTTGCGAATATGGCTCTATATTTGCTTGCTTTATCATAAGCTATACGATAAAAAAACCTTGTTAAAAACGTTGGCGTTTTAATATCGCCAGGAGGTAGTTGGATAAAATCAATTTAAAAAAATATCAAATTCAAGACTTTTGGAATCCTATGTAGAAAGCCCAATTTTCAACATATATTCTATGATGACATGATTCGTGGTGGTAGAACGTCTTGTGAGTTCGCACTGGTAGTTACCACCACCCTGTCTATTTCTGCCGTGAAGCAGTAATGCGTTTTGGTTTGCGTTTGGGGCAGCCGGTCTACTCAGAACTACTTGAGATTTAGAACCCACGTCTCAAGCTGGGGAGCGGCATCATTGGGATCCAGTAACCACTGTACAACAGCTGAACCATAAGCAAGTCTATCCGCTTATGCATTAAAAAAAAAACAAGTCAAGAATGTCACCCAAACCTTTCATATCTTCAACTAGTTCTCCGGAGTATGCCATACGCCATTTCCCAATATTTCTAGCCACAGCATTAGCCCTTTAACGTACGAGAACAGTCCTTTTGATGTGACATCGTCATAGTTTAGCCCTTTCCAAAAGACTTACAAACTATATACACAAATCTTCCTGGTTTATCGATCTTTCCACTTGTGAAAACCGCATCAAAATCGTGGATGGCTTGCTTTAGAAGAATTCGGTGAAGGAAAAGGCAGCCAACGGCAATCTTTATTAGATATTTTAGAGAAGAATTTGTGGTAGGACGTAAAAATCTGTCTAGTTCTATCGTGAAGTACTCACTCATCAGTTCGTCATGTAAGGGTGAAACAACTGTGGTACGATCCAATTGAGATCTTGTAATGCCTTTAAGCCCTGGTTTTCGTGGCGATTTTCCTTATGGTAGCAATTATTTTGCGTTCCAATAAGGCTCGTTCGATTTAAAGTCAAATTGGAGGTTGATTAGCTAATTCATTTACCTGCATAATTTTATGTAGTCTAATAATGAATTTAGCAGGTTTTTTGTTTTTGTTTGTACTCAACGTGTTTATCCGGTTCAGTTGAAACTTGGTAGGTACAATGGTCTGTGCTTTACTGGTGGTAGGGCCTCTTGTGAGTCCGCAAGGGTAGGTACCACTACCCTGCCTATTTCTGCCGTGAAGCACAATAATGCATTTCGGTTTGAAAGGTGGAGAAGGCGTTGTACTGTAAAAACGAAGACCTTAAAAGTCATGTCTCAAGGTGAGTGGCGGCATTTACGTTGTAGATGTCTATGGGCTCCGGTAACCACTTAACTCCAGGTGGGTCGTGAGTTCGTCCACCAACAAAGCTACAAAAAGGGAAGGTTCTCTCATAACACCATCAGCGTATGCAGCGTATAAGGCTTAACAAACAATTGTTTTCCACCATCGAAGCAGAGCGTAGCCGGCCTTCGCAAGTCATTAATAAACAAAACAAAACTCCCAAACTTATTGACTTTCAGATAAAGCAGATAAACAGGAAGACCCTAACCGGCGGACAGGTTTTAGTCAATTCGATTCAGACCGACAACTATTCTGAAGTAGACCGAGCCTTGAACAGCGTCAAGGAAATCGCTCAGACCTCGCAACAAGAACAGGGCTACTGGGAAGACGTTCAGGACATGATCGACGGCGACTACCACAGCAAAGAATCGGATATACTGTCAGAATTCTTCCCCGCGAACCAGCAATTTTACGAACCTATCGCCATAGTCCCGACTTCGACGCCAGAAGCGAATCCAATCGAAGAGTTCTCGTGCGCAAATCACCTTAACTACGAAGACAGCGTCGACGTAACGTCGATCCTGAATCTGGACCACATGAAGGACCTGAGTCCCGCATCGAATATATTCCCGACGCCGCCAAGGTCGGAGAACGTGCCTAGCCCGATATCTGAGTCGCAAACTTCTTACTACCCGTCGAATTCAGATTACACGCTCTCTCCGGAACTATCGCCGGTTTACTGCAGCGATTACGAGAAGTACCAGGACCTGACGAGCTACGAGGAATGTCCCAACGAGACGGACAAGACCAGGGAGAGATCAACATCCATTTGCTCGATGAAGATGAAGCAGTTCAAGGACCTGCAAAAGGAAATAGCGGCGGGTTTCTCCAAGATGGAATGCTGTGAGGTCATGAGGAAGTCCTGCAAGGAAATTCTGCAGGAGCATCTGTTGAAATTGAACGCCGAGCTGAGGAGGAAAATTTGCGTCGAAGTCACTCAGATGAATTTGAAAACCTGTTATGGGTGAGTTCAATATTTTTATTTATTAATTTTGCTTTTTTTGTGTGTGTATATACTTAATTATCATTCTCGTCGAGATGTGTTCTAGTATGATCGAAATAGACAACGATTGTCTCATAGAAGCGTGAACACTGCCCCTAGAAAGGGCAGTGCTTCGCAGAACCCACCACCGGATCGGAAACGCGACCCACTGAGAAGATGCGGCGAGAAACTCAGTGGGCTGTGTCCATGGGTTAATTCACTCGCCGAGCCCTTCGTCGCAAGCGACGGGTTCGGCGACGACGGTGACTGGTGCTTGATGTACCTAAAAGCACCGTTAATAGATCGGGAAGATCCGTAATGACGTGTTTAGGGCAAATCGCTCTCGTACAGTGTCCTTAATATGATCCAATACATGCTTGTTAAGAATAATGTTATGAATGATAATGTCGAATAAATAAATTTATAAAGTAGTTATATACTTGTAAACGCTTTGGTCCGGACTGTGTTATCTACGCGAATATAGACTAATGTCACTTGTGAGCTAATATTGTGTCTTATAAAGAAATCTGCTTAGACTTTTATTTGAAATACTGCCTAATTCCAAATAGGTAATTTATATTCTCCTATTGTTTCTTTCATTTACCCACAATATGACGTTAAATTTTCCAGTGTGATGCATCATATCTTGCTGAGCTTATCGAAGAGCGGTGACGACGAGGATCTCCAGTATTCCCTCTTCGGTCTCATTTGCGAGAGGGTACTGGCACAGAAGCCTGCGTTGTTCGCTGACGACTTTGGTAAGCTATACCGTGGCTTTTGGATGCTAATCATTAAGGCTCATTCCTAAACATAGGTAGCACGATAAAAAAAATTGCTTAAAATTGCGCGTTTACAAAACATGAGAGAGCGAGAGAAAAAGACAGAGAGAGATAGAGAGAGAGAGGGGGAGAGTATTCTTTATTGTACACCAAAAAAAAAATCATACAATTGGCGGTCTTATCGCTAAGAGCGAACTCTCACTACAAGAGGTTTCATACAGACGTTAGTATTAAAAAATCTCATAGATGCCGCTGTATTAAAAAAACACTACACCGAGAACGTCTAATGTGTTCTATCTCATTCTCTCGCCGGCTGAACCCTATACATTTATGTGTTTGTGTCTCTATGGACTTATTTTTTCGTTTCATGGAGTTTGAAATCACAACGATTCTAAAGAAGTTTCACTTCAAAAAATCCGCAATGTAGCACAATAAAAAAAAAGTGCGTGCGTACAAAGTACACATGTCAGAAGTGAAACTTTTTTGGCGAACTAATTTATAAGTCTTGCTTATATTTATACAAATCTAAAACCTTAGATTTCTGAGACTTAGAGGAAGGGAAAAAGGAAGATATGTTCCCGCCAAAAGTCTGTCAGATGTCAATCTCAAACCTCAGTGTTGACAGTCACATTATGTTTAGATTCCTAAATTGTAAAGGACTAATATTTTGCCAATTGAATTGTCTAATTTAATTTCATGCTATTTGATTAATGTTCCAAATTCTTTTCATTTCATTTCAATTCCTATTAACGTTTTTCACAAAAAAATTATAAAATATTAGGCTGTATGGTATGATACATTTGCCTTTCCAGTTGAAAAAATACAACAACTACTACTACTGACATTTGACAAGTACTTAATTTCAATAGTAGTTTGATGTCACTTCCGTTGCATACCTGCGTGACGTTCTGTAAAAATTTTACCCTCATGCGCCTAAAGAAGTTTCACTTCAAAAATTTCCCTTCACACTGCGCGCTTACGAAACATGTCCACATTTTTTTTAATGTGATTTTAATCTCGCCTCCCAGGTCTTAGCTTACTGAAGTCAGCTGTTCTCCGCTGTTCTCACCGTCCCTTCCTGACTCGCTGCGTTGTTCAGGCAATACGAACAAGCTTGAAGTCGAACCCTGAACTGTATGCTGGAAAGGACTGCATATTCACGGAGGTATGTATGTTTTTTTGTACATCAGCCTAGTGGGCATCTGTGTGTGCAGTGGGCTCATAACCTATTAATTAAAACTAATTAACAGCAGTTGAAATTCGACTATAATTGATCTTTTAAATAAAATTCTCGTGTTACAATGTTAGTTACCAATACTCCTCTGAAACGGTTTGACCGATTTTTATGAAGTTTTATATGCATGTTCAGTAGGTCTGAGAATCGGCTACTATCTATTTTTCATACCCCTAAGTGATAAGGATTGTCCACCCCTAACATTTATTTTTAATATTTTGGACGTTTTTTTGTTATAATAATACATTATGTGGTTGAATGAGGTTTTGTTACTTTTATATTCCCTCATCGTTCACAGCGCTACATGCTCTTTCACTAATTTACCACATCCTTACACACTTCCATATTATTATTTTTTCTACACTAGAAATATTCCTAGAAAACAACGTTTGCAAAACGTTGTTTTCTAGGAATAGGAATAGGACGTTCTATAAACGTTTGTTGGCAAAACAACGTTTGCCGGGTTAGCTAGTTGAAATTATAAGTTTGTATAATAGCCGGCAAACTTCTTGAGCATTTGTTGACGTAGTGGGGGTAAGTTTGCGCATGGTACACTCACGTGCAAAAACCTTATTTACTCTACGTCATAATGCAATTAAATTATTAAAATCAACATATGTATTTATTTATATATTTATTAGAACATCAACAAAAAATATAGGTTAATAATTATAATAATTTAATCTTGGGGTAAAATAGATATTCCTTCTATTAAGTCAAAACTAGAGCTGTTGCCAGGTCTTCGTTCAGTTGAAGCGAAGCTGGTATTTGTAATTTTTTTTCGTTATCATAATCTTGACCATTATCATCATCACTGTTTTCATCACCCGAGTCGCCATCATCGTGATAAGTCGACATAGGGCTCATCGGTGTAGTTTACGACTCGGTCGGTTCGATCTTCTTTTTTGTCTATAATTAATTATTTTTTGAAGATATTCGATTCGTAGTAATCGAATGTTACTTTTTTCAATTACCAGCTTCCGATTATTTTCTGTTTTTTTTTTCCATCTGAAGCCTAGCTCTTTCATAATTCGTCGTAAACTTCATTCCGAGCCATTAAAATGTATATCTTCTTTAAAATTTTCGAAGCCTTTCTACGGTACGGAGTTTCGCTGCTTGTTATGTAGTTATTATGATTACATCTTTTTATTACAGATTGAACGAAACTATCCATTCCGGTAACTTTCTTCTTCCCTGATCTTTTCTTACCCGGAGTCCCAAGCACGATGAGCAAGCCAGAGCCTTTAGCTTCGTTAATAATGCACCTAACAGTACTCACTGATGTTTTTGTTGCTTCCGAAGTCTGTTTTACTTTTTCCATAATATCATTCTTCCTCTGTTTTATAATGAAGCAATATACGTCGTACACAATTTTTCTACCCTTTCTTTTGATTACTACACCAGTTTGTCGCGGCATAGTGTATTTTTTATAAAAAATCAACAAACACTCAACAAATAGCAATGGCAACAAAGTCAACAAGCAATTATAACAAAATATAACTTAACGATTAGTAACGATAGACTTTTCACTGTACGCAAGCGTACTTTTGGTAGCAAGCGGAATGAGGGCGCGGTGCGGGACGCAAGGTTCGACTGATCTACCAATAACGCGCTCAATACGATGTCCCCTGCCGTCGCGCCTCACCCTCACCACCAAAGTGATCTAAAATTCGGTTCTGCGCAGTCAAGGTCATTTGCTCACGATGTTTGCCGGTTACTATACTTAGTTGTAATCTATATATTAATACGTGAAGAAAAAAATTGTTGTACCCCTTTTTAGGAAAATTGCGCGGACGGAGGAGTATGAAATTTCCCACACTTATACAGAATATAGAGAAGAAGTGCACAATGCTAATTTTTTTTTTTGATTATGCTTAAATATTACATTGAATCAATAAAATAAAACATTACACACACTACCATGTATTTGACACAACACATAATATGTAATATACTCTTTGCTTAATGTCAAACTTGTTATTGTTTAAAGTCTGTGGTCAAATTAAAGAAGTATCTATAGTATTTGATAATAGAACCGATAATAATGTTCAAACTTATAATTTCAATTAATTATAGTCGTATTTCGACTACTCAGGAACCACTAATAAAAGATAATTACATACATACATATATACAGTTTACATTAGTAATAACTAGATGTCGCCACCGGTACTTCGTAAACATATTTTGATATACAAATAATAATATTGACCTCGAAACGTGAGGTCCAATTCTATGGAAGCGGTCTACGGTTATGACCGGGGTCCAATTGAAGCTTCGTAACCGGAAATTTTCTAATAGTTTAGAATTAGGATCGTGGCGCATAAAATAAAACCATTCCACTGCTAATTAAACTTTTATTCTTCTTTTCTAAAATCTCCTTTTTCTTTTTCTCCACCTCATCCCACTAGGTGTGGTCGGCACAGCGAATTTTTCTATTCCATTCTCTTCTATCAGCCGTCATCTCAACGCTCACTCCCCTCTCTCTTATATCGTCATTCACACACTCCATCCAAGTCTTCTTCGGTCGACCTCTTCTTCCCCCTCTACCTTGCACTACCATTTCCATACATCTCCTAGTCACATGCATCTTCTCTCTACGCATTACATGTCAATCACCGGGGCTACTTTGACACTTCCTCTGATATACTCATTCCTTATCCTGTCCATTATTGTCACTCCACAAATCCATCTTAACATTCGCGTCTCTGCCGCATTCATTCCTTATTCATGCTTTACTATCGTCGCCCAACATTCAGATCCATACAGCACGACAGATCTAACGATCCCTTACTAAAATCTTCTTTATTATAGTAATTAAAAATCAACTGACAACTTTTATTTTGTCATCTTCCTTTTCTCTGTCATTCTCTTTTCCCTTTTTCACCGTTTTCTCTCACTCACATCTTAAGAATCCGTTCCACGCTCCTTCCATACGTTCAATTCTTACTAATACCACAATAATATGTACATTTTTATGTTTTCCTAAAGGTGGACGCACAAGGCGACACTCTGGTCACGGCTTGCGCCCGCGCCGGCGACGCCTACGCTCTAGTGCTCAGCGAGATAACGAGAAACGAATATCGCGAACAGCCGCCGCTATTCAACGTCAATCACGTTAACTGCGATGGTGAGTAACGCCATCTATTAGTAGAGGGCCGAAAACCCGTGAGTATAGTTACGCCATCTATGGATACGGGATTTGGTATCGGTCATCGTTCTCGAACCCGTCGCTCGCGACGAAGGCTCGGCGAGTAAATTAACCCACGGACACAGCCCACTGAGTTTGTCGCCGGATCTTCTCAGTGGGTCGCGATTCCGAGTCGGTGGTAGATTCAGCTAAGCACTGCTCTTGATAGGTGTTAGAAGTTAGGCCAACCCCTTGAACCTACTAACATAGGTAATAAAGAAAAAGAGTCTTCAAAAAAACCACACTTTCCAATGGATTTGAGCCTAAAACGAAATCCAACTTCATCAGAAACTCCTACATCAAGAGTAACAAGAGGTCCCTCAAGCTTCTTAATTAACCACCTTATATCCTTGAACAGGTCAAGCTGCTCTCCACCTCAGCTGTTCCTTGCACAGCAAACAGTCTCCGCGCATACACGTCACCCACGTGCTCCTAGAACATTCCGGAGCTGATCTGCAGCAAGGCGTAAGTCATCGCTTCGATTCGAATACAAAAACAAATCTAGAAGTTTCTTTGCATTGATGTTTGGTTTTTTGTTTCCAGGACTCCAAAGGCGGCGATACACCGATACATCTAGCAGTCAACTCGATCAACTGCGATCTCCATCTGGTGCTGTTGCTATTCAAAACCGTCGATAGGAAGTCGTGGAAGAACCTCGCGTATCTGCGCAATAGGAGGTGCGTACTGGACCTCTTTCCGATATAACTCTTGTGGGGATAAATCTCCTAGCGTCCCCTTAGGGTGGCGGTCCTAGGGCAACTACTTCAGCCCGGGCATAAGCTCATGTTTTGCTGGTTTGCTGGATGCAGGTAGCACAAGACTTATCGTTGCGGCGAGGCTTAGTGGAGCCCTATGTCCAGTAGTGCACTTCTGTGGGTTGAAAGACAGATATATGAAACGTGTAGTATTTTTTTTAAATCATCGGAGTTTATATATTATGTCGAAGTCTTCGTGTTGCTAGCTATAGCCGAGATAGTCTGGTCCGCCAGTACGTTTTTTATTTTTCCTACTTTAGCTGATAGCCTTGAGAAACCATTTCAGCCTAATCCTAACAAGTAAATGAGCTCACGGGGTTCTAACCGGATGACGTTGCTAGCCCTAGCTAGAGCAGTGCTTCGCAAAATTTACCAATGGATCGTAAACGCGACCCATTGACAAGATCCGGCGAGAAACTCAGTGGGCTGTGTCTGAGGGTTAATTTACTCGTCGAGCCCTTCGTCGCAAGCGACCGGTTTCGACGAGAACGATGACCGGTGCTTGAGGTACCTAAAAGAACCGTTAATAGATCGGGAGGAAGTAAACTGTGATTTTCCTTTGCAGCTTCGTCTCGCCTTTCGATTATGCCCGTTCGGCCGCCAAATCGACAACAAGACAGAACTATCCGCCCGAGATACTGGACTTCTTCAAGAAATGCCGTTGAGGAAGCCGACGTCACGAGGAAAAATCGCAATTAAAAAATTCGTTGTGCCTTGAAGGAATTTGAGACTAAAAGTTGTTAATAGCGCCATCTATCGGCCAGGAAACGAACCGAAATGCGTTTCGGTACCGGCGACATCTCTCGACAGAGCTGGTCAATTAAAATCGTTAATTCGCATCAACTTTTGTGCGTACAAAGTGAAATTCGCTTTGCAAATCTCCATCAAAATTGGAAAAAGTTCCAATTCCAAGTTTTAAAGAAAACATATTTTAAGTCAATCAAGTTTTATTTTTTGATACATATAGAATATCACAAGTTTATGTATGTTAAGGAATAACTAAGCATTTTTTTTTACATTCAAAAACCGCTTTGAATCGGTTAAAATATCTGTAATTATATTAAACAATTGTCTTTGAATAACAGACCATAAGAAATGAAAGGGAAAATCGATGATCAATCAATTCTAAAAATACAATATCACTGTCAATAACACGTGACATTGACGCTGTCAGAAAATCTGTTAATGTTATTAACACTTGTTTCACACTTTGTAATTTTTACAATAATTTTTAAGCATATCATAATTTTAGTAAGTATTTTATATTAAACATTTTTATATATTTTTAAGACGAGGTCTGATATATACCACCGTGTTCCATCATGAAGATTCGCTTGAGACTTCTCTTGAGACCTCAAGAGCTCTCGATGAGGTCTCTTTAGCAGCGAATATAACCTGGCTATTGGAGAACTGTATTTCAATTTGAAATATAATTTGAAAAGTGTGAATTGAAACAAAAAAAATACCTAAATTCCCCAGTAAATTTATTCAGGCTCTCTAAGATTAATTCGCACCCGTAAATATGAATATATTGACAATTGTCAATACATAACGCAGACCTACAACCCGACACTGTCAATAAAGACAATCTAACTGATCATTATAAAGGATTTTTTAATTCATCAATATTTTTTGTGATCAATCAATGATATATCTTTTTAAATCGCCCAATAAAATCTAATAATAATTGAAGACATTAGTGGATGAGGGGTTAAGTACCGTTCTTAAGATTTTTGAGTTTTTACGTTGAATGAAGGCGTATGTTAGAGCATATTAGACCTTGAAACTTCGGCTTTAAAGGCTATTTTTAGAAATCGCATGTGACGAAAGATAAAGTGCAAAGTGCACCTTTTTACTGGTGGTAGGACCTCTTGTGAGTCCGCACGGGTAGGTACCACCGTCCTGCCTATTTCTGCCGTGAAGCAGTAATGAGTTTCGGTTTGAAGGGTGGGGCAGCCGTTGTAACTATACTGAGACCTTAGAATTTATATCTTAAGATGGGTAGCGCATTTACGTTGTAGATGTCTATGGGCTCCAGTAACCACTTAACACCAGGTGGGCTGTGAAATCGTCCACCCATCTAGGCAATAAAAAAAAATAAAAAAAAGTAACAAAACTTTGTTGCCGGTTTTCTCAAAAATTAACAAATTGTATCATACCCCTTCATCCACTCATGTCTTCAGAGATCATGTTGTGACGTATATGACGTCATACGTGGCTAATCTGTTGTTACAAACGAAAATCTTACGGTAGATATATGAATAGTAAACTTTAGCTTTTAAATTCGTGTATATCTACTAATATTTTACGTTAAGACCAGTATTTGGTCCGATATCTTAGTTCTTAAAAACAATTTGAAGCTGTCAAAAAAATATTTTTTTGGTTTTTTTTTTTAAATATAGAATTGTGAAATGGGTCTGTATGTGCAAAAAACTCACGTCGTGAAATGTGTAGTGGTAAAGTGATTACTCTTGAATTCTTCAATCGGTGAGATCTCTGTGAGATTTAATATTAACTCTTTTAGTACTGAGCTTAATTTCACATATTTTCCAGAAATGGATAAAGGGTTTTTGAAAAAAAAAACTACCTTACAAAAAATTACAAAAATCAATGCTAAATTCACAGTAATTACAATTTTAAATGGTTATTTGTAAGTGTTATTGACTTATTAAAAACGTCCGAACATCCGAACAGGATACGTAATATCTATAATCGAAGTGCACAATAGTCGGTATTCCGACGCTCCGTACTTTATACGCATTAAAACAGAGTCGATCTATCGACGGTACTCGCTTAAAGAAGTCGAGTTCAATTAAAAAAATATCTATGTACCTTCCGAAATAATTTTTTTTAATAAATTTTACTGGCTTGGAAACAAAGTCCTTTAAGCCAGATCATTATTTCTGTTTCTTCATTACTTTATTTCAAATTATTTATATTGAAATCACTATGTTTTTAATGAATTTATAATAGGGGTATGAAGCACTTTGGGTTGTTTAATAGTTCGTCCAAGCAGCGGGAGACATTATTAGACCTACCGAAATCATAAACATCCGGTGTACAGATAATACCTCAGTATGATTTGACATCTGTCAAACTTCGCGCCATTTTTTTTAATGGAACGTCAAAAAGAAAAAAATAAGTTACCTGAATTTCTTGTCAAGGCGGTTGTGTGTTAATTCGGAATTTGTCAATGTATATAAAATAAAATGTGCAGAAAAAACTATTTTTGTAATTAATTACGATCAAATAAAGTTTATTTTTTTTTCTTTTTGTTTTTGTTTTTATTTGCGCCATAGTTCTCACCCTCCACTTTAAGTGGCGAAACAATCGTTTATAATATACTAGTGGACCCAGCGAACTTTGTTCCGCCACACGGTTTGTTTCAAACACATCAAGCGGTCAACTTCAAAATTCTACTATAATTTACCATAGAATATATTATGTTTAGAGTCAGTTGCGTTTTGCTATGTCACGTCCAATGGGAACGTGATAAAAAGTATCCTATGTCCTTCTCCTGGTTCTAAGCTACCTCCTCACCAATTTTCAGCCAAATCAGTTTAGCCGTTCTTGAGTTATAAATAGTGTAACTAACACGGCTGTCTCATTTAAGCGACTTTTTTGCAACTTTACAGGAGAGTCATTGAAAATTTTTAATCTTTTGGAAAAATATCATAACGAAAATCTTGAGTTACTTGACTGGAGTCAACCTAATTGATATTTGATATTAATATGACATATTACTATAAGATAATTGATATTAGTTGAAAATAATTGAAAAAATATCTAACAAAAAAAAAACCTCAGATATTCTCAAATGGAGTAAACTTAATTGAAGTTCTAATTAAAAACGTCGAACTTTTAATGCTAATACCAAATAAAAAGCACCTTTAATTACAAAGATAAATTTCGCGTATTATAGGAAATTTCGATAAAACCTAATTTCACCCCTAGATATATATCTATAATATATAATTTGAATATTCGATTTTGTGCCTGAATAATTTTATATTATACTAGCTGACCCGGCAAACATTGTTTTGCCATATATAAGATTTCTAGGGAATTTCTAGTGTAGAAAAAAAACTAACTTATTGTAAGTGTGTAAGGATGTGGTAAATGAGTGAACGTTGAGGGAATATATAATAAAAATAACAAAACCTCATTCAACCACATAATACCTGATTACAACAAAAAAAAAGTCCAAATAAAAAAATATATGTTAGGGGTGGACAACCCTAATCACTTAGGGGTATGAAAAATAGATAGTAGCCGATTCTCAGGCTTGCTGAATATGCATAAAAAATTTCATGAGAATCGGTCAAGCGGTTTCGGAGGAGTATGGGAACGAACATTGTGACACGAGAATTTTATATATTAGATATTTTTTATTACCGATCACAGTTTCCAACATTAAGTGACACAAAAGCGTAAATACAATTAATACAATTAGCCCTTTGACTGTCGTGTAGGTCACCGGTGCCCTACGCGGCGCCCTGAAGTAATTAGGCCGATCTCTGTTACTAAGTTTATTAATTTTTTTTATAAACTTATTTTTAATTTATAATTATTTATAATTATTTTACATTAAACATGTGACAGAATTTATGACCTGACTAGGTATATATCGTTATGTACCAGTTATTATGGCTGAGTTTTGATTATTAGACAAAATCTAGCATTAATGAAACTAAAAAAATCAGAAAATACATTTATTTCATTAAATTAAAATAAAAAATCAGTACAATGTGTTCTTTATACATTTTGGAATTCACAAAAATCTATTATAACTTAAAACTATTACATAACTACACTTATTTATTGAGGTTAATTCTGTAACTAAATTCTCTGTTCTCGTTGTGATTAAAAGAATTGATTAGAACATCGTGTATTATCAATAAAATTTAAATGTGCATACCTACCTAGTTTTTGTTTTCAATATTTTTTAATGATTTAGTGACCAAATTAACCGAACAGTTAAGCATTATAAAAACTTCAGAGGTGTCAAGGGACACCCGGATGGAACGAAGTTCCTTTCGATTAATTAGTGAAGGAATTGTAATTTTTTTTTAAGTTATAATAATAAATTACGGCATTATGAAGAAGAAAAAACAATACTATGAACTAAATTACTATTGCTATCTCGAGAAACTGTACTCATTACGCGGACCAATCGGATACGAGCAATGTCACGCGATAAGCGCCTACACGTTGATTGGTCAGAATGACGGATCTAAAAAGTGTCGTGACAACTTTTCGTAAGAATTTTTGCCGTCTAGCCCCCTTTCACAACGCGCGATAAGGAACTTCGTCCCAAAATCATTCTAAAAACAATTAAAATGCTAAAAGGTTTGTGTTGATCAGAATTTCATTTACAAGTCAATCCAATTAATAAGTTTTTTTTTAATATTTGAAATTTAATGACTAATTATATTATAAACACATTTTTTATCATTTTAACAAATTCAACATTCATAAAATCATTCACGCATACTAAGTATAAACTAGATACAAGAAAATACACATTTTTTTAAATAAATAAATTAAAAAATACGTTTCGTTATTATTTATTTTAAAGTAATAAATTAATTTATGGCATATAAAGAAAGTGTATCGTGTTGATTAAAATTAAAATTGCGTAACACCAATACAATAATTTTTAAACATTAAAAAAAAACGCGATCATAGCGCCATTGTTTTTTAGGTACGCATCAGAGAAATATATCATCATCTCGAAGATTGAATTAACGATTAAAATCTTACATCAATAGAGTGCATGCAAGTTTTATTTACAAAATATCTCTTGGTCCATATTAAATAGATACTTATAGTCATGACGTAACCTAAAAACCAGTGAATTAATGTTACAACAATTAACACAACTTTAAAATCAGCACCATTAGTAATGTCGCTTGCATCAGTACAAACAGACAACCGCGCGGTTTGATCTTTAATTAAACGCTTTTTGAAGTTATTGAAGTTATACTTTTTGAAACGCGTTATGAAAAATTTATGAGAATGAAATTTTACGATGCGCGCGCACCGTGACACAAAATTAACAGAAATGAAGTTGCCCACTAAATCGCTCATTACAATACGACCGACGTTACTTGGCGAGTCTGAATATAGCCGCAGGTGAACTTTCCGAACCGTACCGAGAATTACCGAATTTATACGATGTCAAGAAAAGGGATGTCCAATATGCGTGTTTGAGGATGTTGTTTAATCGATTTTTTTTCAAATTGATTAAAATTTAAATAAAAAAAAGAAATAAATTTAATAAAAATAAAGTTTAACTTCTTACGCGCGTACATAAGTACACGCACCCAAATCGATTTCTTTTATTAAGGCAAAGTAATGTGAGCAACACATCTATGATTCTGTCTTCGCGAACTAATCAGTCGCGTCTCCCTAGTTACATTTAGTTTCCTAGTTCCCTAGTTACTCCCTAGTTATTAAACCTTAAAACTCCGGATTTAAAGGCTATTTTTAGAAATTGCATGTGACGAAGGAGTTATGATCGAAGAAAACGTGCAAGGAACAAAAGTTTGGTGCCGGTTTTCCTAAAATTAACAAATTGTATCATATCCCCTTCATCCACTCATGTCTTCAATTATAAAATAAATAGTTTTTACCGGCTGAGCTGTTTCTAATTCGGCGCGTCCTAACAATTTCTGTGAATTACTTTCACAGACCTAAGTTTTTATTAGGCTCTGTGGTATTAACATTTGCATACAAAGAGCTTGCACTGTTTGATTCGCGTGACGAGAACTTCATACGCGAACCGACAACACTCTCAGGAAATTAACTTTCCTAATTAAGCAGTGATGGATCGGTAGGCGAAATTTAAAATGAATAATAAAAAAAAACCTAAATACTATAGCCAAAAGATTACTGCCGACAGCAGTGTTTGTGAAATATGTATTTTTTATAGCCTACATAAATTAGTATGGTTTTTTTTTTCAAAATGGCCGAATGTTATTGGCGGGAAATATCGAATAGATTTCGAATTTTTTATGTTAACTCTTTTTGACACGTTTTCTAAAGATAAGCGTGTACTTTTAGTGCCGGAAGTCGATGTAAAAAATTATTTTATTTCAAATAAAAATTTACGAATTATACACGCGGTTTTTTTTTAAATATTAATTTACATTCAATTCCTATGGTGACATCACTCTGTCGCGTTCGAGAACCTCCCCTTTCAAATCAAACCAAGCGCGTATCATTTTGACGTTAACTAATCAAGTGTCAGTTTGACAGCTGTCATTGAAAATCGCAATCGAGTCACACCGCGTTATTGCACAGACGACACATTACTCTAGTATAATAAACGATTGAAAATTAATTAAATACTAACATTATCTTAAGATCACTTGTAAAGTTTTTGATTAGATATAATATGTAAAGTTAATGTGTGAAGGGAAAACGTTTTATTGGCAACATCGGACGTATGCGAATCGAAAAGAATTGGTAACAAGTTCCTTTTAGTTAGATTAAGCGTAATTAATATTTCATTAACAAACGCTAATATTTTGTACACAAATTTGTCTAATTACACTTTTCTTTTGAGCGAACAATTCTGTAGCACCACATAAAATACGCTCTGTAGAATTTCGATAATTAGCCAATTATCCTTAGGCGTTTGATTTAAGCAATTTTAATAATCAATATTCAAGAATAATGAATATTACTTAAGAAACGCGGGTGGATATTAAAAAATGCATATATATATATTAATTACGAATAAATAACATAGCCGATATTTACATTGAAAAGTTTGCGACAAGCTTGTCAATGCGAACGCCATTTTAGATCTCAGTGTTACAAGCGAATAAAACGTGTACGTCTTTAAGGAAATATTTCGTAGAATTCTTCATTTTTTTAGTCAATTTAATTTTTTTTTCATTTCATTAACGCCTTGACTGTCGTGTAGGTCACCGGTGCCCTACGCGGCGCACTGAAGTTATAATGTCGATTTCTATTACTAATTACTAAAGCGCCTGGATTGTGTAACTTTGCCTTCTATTGTTTGTCAATGTATGTTTTAGTCTTATAGGTCTCTTAGAAACACGATTCATTGTCATTATCTTCGGATTCGTCTTTCCCAGAGTCTACTAGATATTCCTCAGTGACAGTAAATCGACATAATTACTTCAGTGCGCCGCGTAGGGCACCGGTGACCTACACTACACTCAAAGGGTTAATGTGACGATTAAAAAATGTATTCATCTCGCGTGCGCATAATTCTAAAAGTTAATATATACATGTTGATCCGAATTAAAACACATTGGAAATTACACTATCGGGTTTGGTCTTAAAAATGAAGAGCACAGAATTTATTTTACAACAAAAAAAAACATATTTTTTTTACACATTACAACCCTGCTTCCCAAATCTTTTATTGAAGACTGAAATCAAAACATTAATCATTTCGTTGGCGCATATTAATCTTGCATGCTTTCCATTGCAATTCATTAAGTCCTATCTAGCTGTCAATGGTTATGACAGCGAATACAAGATGGCCGCCGTCCACAAGATGGCGGGTCGGATAACCGACGCTCTACAAGCTAGAAAATCGTTGGGATACAAATTCGGGGGTAGAGGCTCCTCACCCGGCTTACAGTATTCGCTTCTGGCCTGAAAAAAAAAATTTGATCGTAATGAAGCGGCGGCGATATCTGTGTGCACCTCATATTGGGCACGCGTGTATCGTGGCCACATATTATGAACAGGAAATTTTCTATTAAATCATTAGGTATCGGTAGGCAGCGGCTTGGCTCGGTAGGCAGCGGCTTGGCTCTGCCCCTGGCATTGCTGAAGTCCATGGGCGACGGTAACCACTCACCATCAGGTGGGCCGTATGCTCGTCTGTCTATAAGGGCAATAAAAAAAAATCTCGCCTTTGACAATGTCTGTCCTGACCGATTGGCTTTTCATTCCGTAGTGTACCAAAATAAACAGATTGCAAGCTTTTAATGACATACAAACGTACAGTTTTATTAGTGTGTAGTTAAAACATGTTTCGAGACATATCGGAAACGAATAATACTTAAGGAAGTTAAACGGTCTGGGCTCTGAAAATTTTCGTTATAAATAACGTGTGTTTGATCCTTCGAGCCGATTGATTAAGCGAGAGAGATTAAAACAGCCACGATTGTCGCAACGCCGCAATTAAACCCAGACATCGTGTTGACACAGCGCTATATGTATGTATATTGTTACGCGCTGGGGTTCGGGACAAATAAAAATTCTACCCAAGTACAAATTAAATCTGTATTAGCAATCGGAACACTTAACGAACACTTTAAATTTCTCTAGTCTTTGATAGTCGATACGACATCCCTAGATTTATCGAGATAATTCCTCACAAGTCGAGTAGCTTCGATGTGCGTTTCCGCTATCTGACAATAGATGGCGCTGTACTTTTCGAGCGTTCTTGATATTACTAGTTTTTCGATATTCGTTTCTGCTATTCGACGATAGATGGCGTTGCTCGTAGCAGCGTAACAATACGTAAAGAGAATTTCGAAAATATTTTAAAACATTACTTACAGCGAACTCAGCGCCGCACACTTGCCTGCAGGGGGGACAGACCACGCCCCCCCTGTGGAGCCAGCCGTTCTTTATGATCCTTATGTGCAGCAGTTGCCCGGCGTGGAAGCACGTGTACGTGTAATTACCCACCTGGGAACAAAGGGGGGGGGGAGCGATTGTATAGAGGTGGCAATATAGTGGAAGTGCAACTCGTATAGCAACACTGAGGACTCTTCAAGTCGGAACGCGTTACTGCTTCGCGGCAGAAATAGGCAGGGAGGTGGTACCAGTACTGCCAATGTTACTAGTAAAAAACGTAAGGAGTATGAGTGGTAACAGACGCATCTTTTTTTAATTTTTTATTGCTTATATGGATGGACGAGCTCACAGTCCTCCTGGTTTTAAGTGGTTACTGGAGCCTCACCGTTAAGATATGAGTTTTAGGATCTCAGTATAGTTACAACGGCTGCCCCACCCTTCAAACTGCTTCACAGCAGAAATAGGCGGGGTGTTGGTACTACCCGTGCGGATTCACAAGAGTTCCTACCACCAGTCGTCTGGTCTGAATCGTCAACTTTATTTATTTATTGCTTAGATGGGTGGACGAGCTCACAGCCCACCGGGTTGTTAAGTGGTTACTGGAGCCCATAGACATCTACAACGCAAATGATGCCACCCACCTGGAGATATAAGAACCGCTTCCGCTGCGTACCGAAGACGGGTTTAGATACTTTGTCAGCCCGCAATGGATCGCGAAGGCAGTCAACCAAGTTCGCTCGCGACTGTCATCACTTTGTAATGCATTGCTGGTTTTTTTTTTTTTCATTTTTTTAACTATATATGATGTAGAAATCAAGAAATGCTTACCACGATATGCAGACGACCGCTGTCGCATTTGTATTTGTAGCAACCGGAGCCCCAGTGTTGCCATTCGCGGATCTTTAAAAAGAAAAAAGCACTATCTATATCCACACCTTTAGAATTGAAGTGGCTTTACTGAAAACCTTAAGAAAACGAGTTTTATACTTTGAACGTCTAATAGACTATCAGTATTCTCTCAGTATTTAAAATTAAATCTTAATATCTATGAATTACGTGTCGCGTTGGTTGTCCGCGATGGACACCTAAACTAATTTTAAATATATATTTTAAATATGTCTTTTGTTTTAACTTAGGCCATAGGATGGTTTTTCGATTAATGGTCGCAATGTTTATTAATTAACAATAAATCGATCACGGCCCAACTGGTGTTAAGTGGTTACCGGAGCCCATAGACATCTACAACGGTTGCCCCACCCTTCAAACTGCTTCACGGCAGAAATAGGCAGGGCGGTGGTACCTACCCGTGCGGACTCACAACAGGTCCTACCACCAGTAAAGCTCATAACACACCCCTCGACGATTCGTAATAAAACCTTACCTGTCTGCATGACTTCTGCTCCCAGACCTTGTCGCTGTGCTCGAAGCACTTTGAGTGCTGTCCGTAGTTCTCCAGAGCGAAGTTCAGATCGATCTCTGAGGGCGGAAAATCGAAGGGCGTCACCTCGGGGAGCCCTCTACTCGACCCCTCCTCAGTCGAGGTGGAGTCGAGGAAAACGACGTCTTTTTTAATTTTTTTATTGCTTAAACGGGTGGACGAGCTCACAGCCCATGAGTTAAGTGGTTACTAGAGCCCATAGACATCTACAACGTAAATGCACCACCCATCTTGAGATAAGAGTTCTAAGGTATAGTTACAACGGCTGCCAAACATACAAACTTGATAACTAAAATAATAAATTGTAAATTAAAATCGTTGCGTGAAAAAATGAATTATTTTTTTAACTACCCTACAAACATGAATATGGACATGACATGACATGATTATGGACACAGCCTTCGTGTTCAGGACGAACTCCAGGTCACCAGGTCAAGTTTCGAGCCTGGTTATGCTCCTCAACTGGAACCTGCCTCCAAGGTGGTAGCAGGTTACTATACTCTTTAAGGGTAGACCTTTGCGTCCTTGAATAGAAAACTGTTGTAAATCTAGATTTAGACAGTCTGTCTGTACTTACTCGGAGTATTCTCCTCGTAGGAGCAACGACTTCCTCTGATCAGCACGCTCTTGTGTCTCCAAGTGAACTCCTGGAGGTAGGGGCAGTAGTCCGCGAGGGAGACGGAGCCACCATAGTACGCCTCCTGCCCTGGTGGAACGTTGGGCAGTATGTCGAAATGCTGCGGAGGATATCAGTAGTCTTAGTGGTGGTAGGAGGTTTTGTGAGTCTGCGCGGATAGGTACCACCACCCTGCTTTAGAACTTAGATATGCTGATGTCCATGGGCTCCGGTAACCACTTAGCACCAGACAAGCCGTGAGATCGTCACATTAACGTCTCATGACGGGCGGTGCGTACCTTCCAACGCCTCTCTGGTGACCACTTAACGCTTGATGAGGACGTGGCATGGCTTTGGTATGCTTCATGTTTTTTTGGCGCGAACCCACGAATTCAGGTAACATCTGATGTAGAATCAAATGTAAAAAATCATAAAACGTATTTCAAAAGCCCGTAATGACTTAGTAATCATGACAGGACATACGACTAACTTCGATTCCCGTTCGGTCTTAACCAATATAATTAACGCATCGACCTCACGTCTCAAGACTCGTATTCGCTTGGTTGTGTCCACGGGCATCTGGGGGTCGACATCTGGCTACTGACCTGGTAGGCTCTCGGCAGTAGGTTGTCGTGGCGGACCAGGTTGCAAAGGACGACTGCCGACCTCCTCGGGGAGCACTCGGTCCTTAGGGGATTCCCCTTTATCCTCTCGCAAAATGGCGCCGGATTTCTGCGTCTGTTACGAATGGCAACGTCAGAAAATCACGAAATTGTTCTAATTAAAAAAAAAAAACTATTATACGTCCCGATGTCCATGGACTCGTGATCGTATGGCACACAGATCTGATGGATTGTAGGTTGATTAATGTAAGATTTAATTAGAACTTACTCCAATGTCTCGTTGTCCGTTTGGTTGCTTGAAAAAGAATAAAAAGAAAAACAAAATATTGTTACCACATCTAGCAGTTTAAGTCGTATTAGTGAGTGCGAAACACGACGATGAATAAACTTTCAGCTACTACTATCAGTACATTTCTTTACCCCACAATGAACAAGCAATCAAATAAATTTTGCGATTACAATTCCCCTATCACTAACTTCGGTTCCGCAATCGCTCATGCAAATTCCCCCATTACTCACTTGAGTTCCGCAATCGCTCACAAAAATTCCACCAAACACTACCTTTTTCGGTTCCACAATCGCTCATACAAATTCCTCCAATACCCACTTGAATTCCCCAATCGCTCACGCAAATTCCCCCATTAACCACTTCAATTCCGCTATTACTCAAAAAAAAAACCCGTAATCGCTGTAGTAAGTGATATATTATCAGATCTTGTAAATGGCCGTTTAGCGATTTACATAACTTCAATAGAATTCCTTCTATTCTATATTAACTAGCTAGCGAATTCCCCCATCACTCACTTCGAGTTCCGCAATCGCTCACAGCAATCCCACAATCAGTAGCATCACTCTCCTCCAGGTTCGCTTCGGTCTCGCGCGCTCTAAAATGAATATACCTCAACCTTTGCAGGTTCATCCACTGCTTGCACGAGGACATGGCGAATTTACAGCCCAGCCCCTTCCCCCAGTCCAGGGGTGTCGCGTGGGAGTAGTCTGCCCTGTACCAGCCGGTGTCCTCCATCATCGCGAGGGTTATCCTGCTGAAGACCGAGTTCTGGGTGTGGGTGCCGGTCATGGCCTCGTTCTTTAAGGACGAAAAAAAAATATGATTTTTAATACGCTTTTATTAGCTTCAGACTTATGTATGTTTGTAACGGAATCTTTGAACATGATTTTGACCCCCTTCAAAACGTCGGATTAACACGAAATTTGGTATAATTATTAAGGACCGTAGACAACTCAATATTAAAAATAAATGAAAAAAAAATATAAAAAATTTAAATTCAACTAAAAAATTAAAAATAAATAATAGTTAAAAAATACTAACAAAATACGCTTTTATAGAAAATCCAACTAAAAAATAGAAAATAAATTTGAATTAAAAAATAGTGTAAGAAAAAATAATTTTATTGTAAAAAAGCGTGGAACGGAAATAAATATAAGATTTTTATTATACACATACATATTAATAATAATATACATCAATAACCCTGGAAAAGACATTTTATATTTATCATACACAAATATCTTCCCTTGGCGGCATTCGAAACCGCGACCCCCTTGTGTAGTGACCATGTCACTTACCACTACACCAGACGGCCGTCAAACAGTATGATTATTTTCTTATGATATATTGGGGGGAGGCTGCCTACATTCGGACTGGAGTTAGCAAGGTAGGCTACCGAGACTGACCTCAAAGACTCTCTTCTCCCAGTGGGTCATGGCGGTTCCGTCGCCCCCCTGGTCCTCCAGCTCTGCCCCCTCCAGCTCTGAGCAGTTGAAGTGTTCGCGTACCTGAATCAACAGAGCACAACAGTTCAATGCGAAGGTCGTTAAGTTGTCTTCGGAAGTATATTGTCATGTCAATGTCAGGTACATTAAATGAAACTGGTATATGATCGCAGCGCCACCTGCCGGTCACAATTATATGTCTGAGTCGAATGACAGAGGAGCACATATTATATGTATATATGTTTCTTTCCTTACTCATTTAGAAAATAGCATTAAATTCATTTAAAATAACATGTACAATTATTAAACATACATTATATGTATGTACATAGGTATAGGTAGGCAGCGGCTTGGCTCTGCCCCTGGCATTGCTGAAGTCCATGGGCGACGGTAACTACTCACCATCAGGTGGGCCGTATGATCGTCTGCCTACAGGGGCAATAAAAAAAAACATAAGAAAATAAATAAAGGAACTTTTTACATAAATATAACTAATGATATAAGATTAATTATTTTATTTTTAGGTAGGTCTACGAATCCACGGCCAACATGCCGTTAATTGGTTAGTGGCCCGTGGACTTCAACAACATGGATGCCACCGCCTAATTTGAGATAATATGAGTTCTGAGACACATTTTATGTAGGACTTTTTGTGGGTCATGTGGTATTTGTCTAATTTCATAGATGATATTTTTATAGTTACGTCTATGGACTCATGTGATCGCTTAGCATCAGCTGAAAAAAAACATATAATTGACGAACACTTAAACTCGTGGTCGCACCACGCTCGGGTGTCCATAATTTTATGGGGACTTTTAAAATTTTCAATTTATAACATTTTCGACGATCGATATTAAGAAACTTTATCTAAATACTAGCTGACCCGGCAGACTTCGTAGTGCCTCAATCGATAAATAAAAGACCCTAAACTTTTGTATAGAATAAATATAAAACAAACAAAAGGAATCCGTCCGACGGGGACACATCAAAGGAAAAACAAAATTGTTATTTTTATTTAATTCCGAGCATTTTCATATTTATCTACCTTTTAAACCTACTCTGGACTTCCACAAATAATTCAAGACCAAAATTAGCCAAATCGGTCCAGCCGTTCTCGAGTTTTACCGAGACTAACGAACAGCAATTCATTTTTATATATAGAGATAGATTATCCAGGGTCATAGCTCCTTCTACGCGTTGCCCCGGACTAAACCCAGCCTCTCATAGACTTTTACCTCTTTAACCACCCTCGGAGTGACCATCATGTGGAAGGTCCTCTCCATATATCCACCTCTGATCATCCAATTCTTTCGCGTCACGTTCCTGACCACTCTATCAGACCACTTGTGTATCTGCAGCCTGTAAAATGGAGATCATTTTAACGGGGTCAAAGCTGAAGACGGTTTAGCCACGAGTGACGTCACGATGCGTCAACCATAAAATAAATCCATAGACATATATGGTAATGATTTCTTTAAACAAACATCCCTTTTAAATGATTCTTGTCCACCTGACGGTTGTCTGGAAGAGATCGCTGTTATCGATAAGACAGTCAATTTTACTTCTTTGTATTAATTTTTCGCATTTTTTTTTTGTTTGTTTTGTGTACTACAAAGCATACTCCTTCTCTCTCTCTCTCTCTCTTTTTCTTTCTCTAGTATTAAAGTTAGAATTATGTGATCCTCTATCCGTTTTAATGTTTTCATTTTAAATGTCATACTTGTATACGAGCTGAGACTGAGAAACGCTAATTTCAAAAAAGGTGTTTTTTTATATTTTAAAAAAGTTGACGGTAGTTCGAAAATTTCTTTAATATTGACTATGGAGGGTAGAAGTAAGGAGCGCCATCTTGTATAGGGGACAAGTTGAATAAGTGTCGACCTGTAACAAGCGAGCTATTGTTGGAAGACTCACAGCGAAATAGCTCTAGTGTAGCAAATGGAAATGTTGTGAATATAGCAGTTTTAAACAGAGTGAAGTGTGCTAGTTTATGGCGCTGTTAGTCACTGACTGCGCGCCGTCCCTACAACGCTTTTATAGCCGATACCTCATCCCTAGAATTATCGAGAATATTTCACACATCTCTAGTCGTAGTTTCCGTTATCTGTCAATAGATGGCGTTGTGCTTCTCGACCGTACTAGATGCTTCTAGGTCCTTCGATATTCGTTCGACTATTCGGCGACAGATGGCGTTACTATTATCGGCGTAACAATATACTGAGATGGTGCTCGTTACTTCTACCCTCCATAAGATAATATAAACACTATTGTTAAATTTCTAGCGCGGTCCAGTTTTTCTGTGGACGCGTGAAGCCCGCGGGCCTGTCACTCCTAAGCAGCCTACAGCCTTAACTCAACACTCACTCCTCGTCCAATGGTGGGTTCCCGGTGTCAGGTCTTCTTTCGGTCAGGGGCTCGCCGTTGTCGTCTCTGAAAAACGTGGTGCTATTAAAGACCTTGACATTTGAGGTCCGAGTCTCAAAGGACATCGTGATTCGTTACCCCTAAATCCCGAAATGAGGGGTAAAAGAACGGTGTAACGGTCCAGCTCCTTGGACCATGAAGAACTCACAACGTGAGGATGCGTCCTCGAAGATCTTGGACTTTTACGGTTGGACGGTTACTTGTCCATTACGGCAGAAATAGGCAGGGCGGTGGTGCCTACCCGCGCGTACTCACAAGAGGTCCCTACCACCAGTAACTTCGGAGGGTCATACTAGATTCACCGGGTGAGTAGGTGAGCTCACGGGGCTCTAACCTGGTGACGATGCTATCATAACTAAGCCCAGAAAGAGCAGTGCTTCACAGTGTGGTTTGTCATTTGTCCTTCGCATTCGCGGGATATTTTACTCCGAACATATAAAAGACGTAAAAGTATGACGTCACGGGACACCTGCGCGTTCGGCAACTCCAATCGCATCCGATGACGCCCGAGTGACCGAGTGTTGCACGCTACAACAGACTCTACCACCGGACCGGTAACGCGTCCTTTATTTTTCTTACCTGTAAAACGCGAACAGAGACACACTGAAGCCCAGAGCGTGCAGCATCTCGTGTTTGACGGTCGAAAGGACCGACGGTAAGTCGCGGTATTTGGTCGACAGTTCGGCCGGACAGAAATTCGCGTGACCAGCCACCGGCCTGGGGAGGGTTAGCAAAACAACAACATTATAATACATAACGAAGGGTGTATTCTATCTACCCGCAATTTTTAAACGCGAACGATATAACGTAGATATATATATAAGGGATTTTATGACCTGGTAACTAAGACTTTTAAGTCATGTCTTATTTTAATTTATATTCTTATTTTTATGAAAAATGATAATATGGAGTGAAATGAAATGAGATGAGATGATATGGGATGAAATATAATCTCAGTAAAATGGTGGTCATTTACTAAGATTTTTTTCAGTGGACTTTTTGGAGGATCCCGAGAAATTAGTTACGTTTACCCACATTTGTGCACTTTCACAGATACTAAACAGTTAATAAATCACCATTATTACACATTCAAACCTGAAGAAACACTAAATAGACCAAATAAAACAAATCACACAACTTCACTCCTCGCGTTCCCACCAAAAAGTCAAATTACGTAGTGTCATTAATATGAAATCTACCCACATACTGAATTAATTTTGTTGGAGGTGCGTATTTTTTGGTATTACGAACGTCTATTGTACTATTGAGACATTGGTTTAAACGACATTTTTTACAAATTTACAGAAGAGCCTTTTAAAGTTTAAAATTTGGAAAAAATATTTTGACAAATAAAAAACTTCTTCAGCTATTACTATTGAAGGGAACTTAATTGAATTTCAATTAGAAACATCGAACTGTTGATGCTGATACTAAATAAAACGGACCTTTAATTACAAAGATAAATGTCACTTACACCAAATAGCCTTTCACAGTAAATCAACACCCTGTATTTCGGAATCAATTAACACTATAAAATTTTACACATAAATTCACCAACACAACGAATTTTCGAATCAATCATGCAATTCTTCGGGGAATAACACCTATAATTCTTCAGGGGAATTCACACCCTGTATATTCCAACCTACCTGTCCAAAGCCGACTCCTGTTGGCAGTGCGACGCGTACGCCACCGTGAGACCCCGCCGGCATCTCTCCGTCTCCACGGCGCTGACGTAGAGCATGAAATCGGTATCCTTCACGCCGACCGGCTCCGAATCCTCCTCGATAACTGGTGATGTTAGAAAAGACTCCACTTACCACACGTACAGGGTGTGTGAAAACCGGATAACATGAAAGTGTAGTAAAAATCAGACTCGCAAAATTATAATTTGCGTAATCATTGGTGGTAGAACCTCTTGTGAGTCCGCACGGGTAGCTACCACCGCCCTGCCTATTTCTACCGTGAAGCAGTAACGCGGTTTAATCCGAAGGCCAGGCCAGCCGTTGTACTGTAAAAATGAGACCTAAGAAATATCTCAAGATGGGTGGCGGCATTTAAGCGTTAGATGTCTATGGGCTCCGGTAACCACTTAACAGCACGTGGGCCGTGAGCTCGTCCATGGACCTAAGCAATGAAAAATAAATAAATAAAAAGCTTACCATCGCTTCGTTCGTCGAGATTGTTCTCGCTGACTTCTGTAGCTGGTTCATCATCCGGAGGGGGCTGGTAGCGAGGTAGTGCCCGGCAGTCGTGGCCGGTACTATTACAGACATAGCAAGGCTAGGAAGAAATGGTTCATCAGTTATACTGTTATGCCGGTACGAGTAACGCCATCTATCGCCAAATAGCCGCACGAATTACGAAGGTACTATCGAGAAGGTACTACTAAGGTAAAGACGAGAGGTCCACCGCCATCTATTGTCATTGATAGCAGAAACACACATCGAAGCTACTCGACTTGCTCAGAATGTACTCAATAAACCTAGGAATATCGTATCGACTATAAAAGCGTTGCAGAGATGGCACGAAGTCAATTAGTAATCGGAACTACTCGAAGCGAAACAGCAAAGGGATCCCCTGAAGCGAAGCGGAAGAAGCGAATTGAGAATATTAAAGTGAGTGTTCTAAGTGATAAATACAGGTTTAGTTTGTACTTCGGTAGAATTTTATTTATCGCGAACCTCAGCGCGTAACTATACGTCAGTGACTTTTGTTCGATTATACCTTAATATAAAAAAATATATAGAAACTTATAAACATAAAAAAAAAATCTGAAAATAACCAAGGTAAATAATGCTCTACACTTCTCTCAAAGTGTCAAACGGAGATGGGCTGGCCATGTTGGGAGATACGGATATCGATGGACAATAATTAACACCACAAAATGGAAATGACCGCAGGGCGTGAGAAGTAAAGGGCGCCCGGCTGCCAGGTGGCAGGACGAGATTGTATCCAAAGCAGGAAGAGACTGGACGACCACTGCTAAAAATGGAATTCATTGGAGGAGACTTTTACCGTGAGGGAGTCCACATTAGGAGATTAAATTGGACGAGCAGTAGATGTATTATGGTTAATTAGTAATATAATACTAATTTAATTAAGCTCTATCTAATTATTATGGAATCATATAAAGCTTTGAAGCTATTGCATAGCTTTTATCGCGGGATTTGAGGGCGGCGACCGAATCAAGAAATTCCGTAACGAAAATAAAACCTAATACCCCCCACTCCGCTTACCATGTAGCTCGCGTTCAACACATTCACACGTTGCGCTTGTGTAGTGTTTGTGAATAAACGCGCGGCGTGACGTCGCACTGCATGCGCATCATGAAAAATCTGCCCATCTCTCTCTCGCGCGGTCTAGCTTATGCTACAGCTACAGTTAATGTTTTGCTTTTGTTAATATTTATAAATATAGTGTGGTCTTATTTTATTATTGTTTTAATATTAAATTATTATTGTTTAATTATAATTGCATAAGTTGAAAAAAAATGCTTTGCAATAGCTTTACCGCGGCAGTCCCCGAGGGCCACACATGGTTTATTTTTTACGGGGTATTTTGTAACACGTTGTATAAGAAAAGTATATTTAAGTCTTTGTCAATAGAACCATAATAGTGTACAAACATATAAATTCAATGGACTATAGTCGAATTTCGACTACTGAGGGACCACTATTATAATTTAGTGCTTGAAAAAAGAAATAAGCAATTTTTTTTTATGTGCGCGTTAAATTATTTCACGTCGAAACTTTACGGGCAAATAAAATCGTTTGCGAAATGTTTTTTTTGCGTAACGCAGGTATGTTTTTATTATTTATTTATTAGATATTTTAGACATAGACTACTACAACGTAAATACGCCATCCACCTTGAGATATAAGTTCTAAGGTCTCAGTATAGTTACAACGGATGCCTCGCCCTTCAAGCCGAAACTCATTACTGCTTCACGGCAGAAATAGGCAGGGCGTTAGTACCTGACCGTGCGGACTCACAAGAGGTCTTACCACCAGTAATTATAATTTTGCGGGTTTTATTTTTATTACATGATGTTATTCTTTCACATGATGTTATCCTTCATGAACATTTGTTAATATAAGTACGTATTTCATTAGAAAAATAGGCACCCGCCTGCGGGATTCGACCGGTGCATCGTTAGATACGAATGCACCGGACATCTTATCCTTTAAGCCACGACGACTACTACTTACTGTGTTTATGACCAAAGTACATGACACAGAAGGACCGATTGTAATTGTAAAGGGCTGTATTGATATTCAAAACGGTGCGCACAGGGGTATGAATGACTATTTTGGCGCAGCATCGGAAACCTTGTGAGGATACGAGAAGCCCATGAAGGGGACGAACTTTGGAAAGCGTGGACGCTTTTAAAAACGTTAATAGATTAGAAATAAATAAATAAATCATGAGATTAGCGTAATATGGTTTTTTTTAATGGTTCTTAAACTAACCGCAGTCCTGGTCTCTTGTCGGATATAATCAATATGTTTCTCTTTTCCCTTTCGATTCGCTAAAAGCTTAAAAGGCTATTCCAGTTACGCCCGGACGGGTATGTGAGCTCACGGGCTCAACCTGAGAGAGTAATTGCTGACACTTGCCCTAGCAAGAGCAGTGCTTCGCAGAATCTACCACCGGATCGGAATCGCGACCCACTGAGAAGACCCGGCGAGAAACTCAGCGGGCAAGCATTCGAGAATGTTCTATACTGGTCTCGATATCCGCATTTGCTATCTGACGACAGATGGCGTTACCAGTTAGAGTGATTCTAACAGCTCTTTTTTTTTATTGCCTTTGTAGGCAGACCAGCGTACGGCCCACCTGATGGTAAGTGGTTACCGTCGCCCATGGACTTCAGCAATGCCAGGAGCAGAGCCAAGCCGCTGCCTACCGCTACGACGCGCGGTACGGTTGGCGAAGATAGATGCTAATCCCAATTTATGTTTCAGGGTTCTCTTTGCTTATCCTATGTAATATCGCTCATTGTTATGTGCTACTAACGGCAAACGTTGAAGACATTAAAAAGTTGGCGAGACGATTCGTTTCCGAGTCCTTGGCGGAGAGGATCGCGGATTTTATTGCGACGGCCACCCAGAAGCTGATTAATAACGTGTCGAATGAAAACGGAGCCAACATCCAAACTGTGCACAGTGTATCCGATGAAGATACCAGCGGAACGGACTACGTAGGTCGACAGAGGCAAAAGAAGCCCACGAGCAAATCAAAGCCCAAAGAATGGACCGGAAACGCGTTGAAATATACCGGATTCGAAGACCTACGCGAGTCGGAAGATAAACCGAAATCGAAACTGCCCTTCTGGGCGAAGAACCCCAAAAAAGACCAGAAGAACATAGAGCCGCAGAGCAGAGACATCAAAAATAATGACGGGACAACGCGCCCGATCAAAGCGACTGTTCGCCAGACAAGATTTAAGCAAAAACACAGGAAGAAACCCAAGTACGCTGATAAGACTGCTAGGAAATCAAAACCGGCTCTGTCTGGCGACACCCTAGATGAGAGCATCAAGAAACAATTGATGACGACAATCAAAGAAGTTAACTCAGATTCCTCTGAATCCAATGACGTCCAGGACACGAATAGAGATAATACCACATTAAGAGAAGCCGGAAAGGCTGATTTCGAAGGTCGAACCGAAACGGTGACCGCAAAGAAAGAGAAGAACGAATTTGATTTGTACGATAATACGAACTATCCGAAAGATTTTGCGGCGACTAGTGGCGGCGTCAAGTTACCCGCGATGCCACTGATGAAGAGAGGATGGGGTAATAGAAATAAATCTTGACTTTATTGGGTTTTTTTTAATGTACGTTTTTGGGCATGAACGATTAGTGGGCTTCGGATGAGTTCTGCCTTATCTGAGGCTCGGGTTTGTTTTTGTTGCCCTTGTAGGCAGACGATCATACGGCCCACCTGATGGTGAGTGGTTACCGTCGCCCATGGACTTCAGCAATGCCAGGGGCAGAGCCAAGCCGCTGCCTACCGCGGCTTTTTAGTGACATGGGATTTTAGTCGGTTTTTCGACATTCACGTTGGGGACCGTAGACCAGTAGACCCTAAGGGAGATCGAACTGGAAGGTTTTCAAGTATACACCACGCTCTGTGACTATATTTCATTCCATCTAATTTCCCTTCATTTAATTTCATCCCAATTCATTAAAATCTCAGATTAAATAAATAATAATAAAATAATTAAATAAATAACTGGGAACGAATCACGCACGATCATTCCGGCCCAATTTAGGATTCTCTGTGTTATAGGTGCCAGAGAATGCTAAACATACTTGTAAAGGCTTAAAAAAAAACGTATATAGATAATAAATGCCTATTTCTGCCGTAAAGCAGTAATGCTTTTCGGTTTGAAGGGCGGGGCAGCCGTTGTATCTATACTTGAGACCCTAGAACTCATAATCTCAAGGTGGGTTTTTTTCTTTTTTTCTTTTTCTGGAGCCCATAGACATCTACAACGTAAATGCGTCACCCACCTCGAGATACAAGTTCTGAGGTCTCAAGTATAGTTACAACAGCTACCCCCACCCTTCGACCGGAAACGCATTACATGCTTCACGGCGGAAATAGGCGAGGTGGTGGTACCTACCCCTACGGACTCCCAATAGGTCCCACCACCAGTAAACGTGGTGGCGGCATTTACGTCGTAGATGTCTGTGAGCTCCGGTAACCACTTAACAACAAGTGGGCTATGACCTAGTCCACCTATCTATGCAATAAAATATAATAAAAAGATAATAAACACCCAGACGAAGGGCAAACCAGCCTGATTATCACACAAACGTTTGCCCGATGTGAGAATCGAACCCACGCCCTTAGCGCAAAAGTCAGGGCCGCTAACTACAGCATTACCGGGTCAGTCATAATGACTAGCACCACCATGAGGAATTAATTGTTTGAGATAGTCCCATCCCAGCCACTGCGTTCAACCACAGTGCGTTTATAGAGATCTTTTCTGCCACGTACCGTCCGGGTTTGGAGAGAACTTCCCTTCACGACATTTCCCGGGCGCTATGACACGTCTTCCTTCAAACGAGGTTTGGAAGACCACACAGCTATAGGCAGCGGATTGGCTGTGCCCCCGGCATTGCTGACGTCCACAAGCAACGGGCAATAAGGACAATAAATCCTGTACAAATTACACTGAACTAGCCGTGGTCAGTTTGAAGAGCCATTATAGACTTCGACCTTTGATCACAAGATTGGGGTCGTCTGTATCACTAAGCTCGTCCATCGACCTGTGTGCTTAGTGTGAGTTTTTTAACGTTATCGATAGCGTAAAAGTTAACTCAAATTTGTAAGATGGAACGTTTGCCGCTAAGGACGCTGTTGCAATTGCATTCAAGATTCAGTTAACTTTTACGCTATCGAAAACGTTAAAAAACTCGCACTAAGAAGCACACTGAGCTATTTATATATAATCGACGATCAGAACTTACATTCAAATGCTCCTCTGGTACACGAACCTCTCCACACATCGTTTCATGACTGCACGCGTCTATACAGTGCGATCTGCCGCCTCGCAGGAAAACTTGGCGTGTCGGACATTTCCTGGAAACAGAGCAGAATCAGTGTGGCTGCGACGGCTTGAGTAGCACCCCCTACCTCTCTCCGTGGGTGTCGGGAAGGCGACTAAGGGATTCCCTGGAGTATAGGTAGTGGCGTTCGGTGTCGGTTCGTCATTTAGTCGTCGTGGTCTAAAGGATAAAACGTCCGGTGCATTCGTATGTAGCGATGCACCGGACGGATGTTTGAATCCCGCAGGCGGGTACCAATTTTTCAAATGAAATACGTACTTAACAGATGTTCACGATTGACTTCCACGGTGAAGGAATGACATCGTGTAATAAAAATTAAACCTACAAAATTATAATTTGCCTAATTACTGACAGGACCTCTTGTGAGTCTGCACGGGTAAGTACCACCACCCTGCCTATTTCTGCCGTGAAGCAGTAATGCGTTTCAGTTTGAAGGGTGGGGCAGCCGTTGTAACCATACTGAGACTTTAGAACTTATATCTCAAGGTGGGTGGCGCATTTACGTTGTAGATGTCTATGGGCTCCAGTAACCACTTAACACCAGGTGGGCTGTGGGCTCGTCCACCCGTTTAAGCATTAAAAAACCGAATTTTCTACGTCAGTCGCAACCAATTTAACAAGTATTCTGTTATCAAAATTCTAGACACGAGCGTGTGTTGAGATTAGGTTAGGCAAACAATACTGTAATAAATTATCACTGTGAACTATTTATCTTCGTTTATGTTTCGAAGCGAAGTCTCCAAAATAGGCAGTATTTTACTGGTGGTAAGACCTTACGTGAGTCCGCACGGGTAGGTACCAACCACCACCCTGCCTATTTCTGCCGTGAAGTAGTAATGCGTTTCGGTTGGAAGGGCGGGGCGGCTGTTGTAACTATACTAAGACCTTAGAACTCATATCTCGAGGTGGGTGGCGGCATTTACATTGTAGATGTCTATGGGCTCCAACACCAGGTGGTATGTGAGCTCATCCACCAACTAAGCAATAAAAAAAGGATCGCGGTACCTAGCCGTACAGGCTCATAGTGCAATCTCTTTTGAGGTCCGAAGGCTGGAACGGACATTTTGAGGTCTCGACCGTGTTTTAAGGTAAGCGGGGTTTTCGACGCTTATCGACTCTGGTAGAATAGCTTATAATAATCATAATTAGCTCCAACAACGCTATAAACAGAACATAATTAAAGCTACTTTTACGGCTTAAGCTCGCAGACTGTTAGACCACGAAAGCTTTAAAGCATTCCAAAAATGTGTACAAAATAGGACTACATTTTTAAAAAGTGTTAAGAATCTCGCGAAAAATGACGAGGATACTACATATACAATGTGTCGGTGCACCAGTGTTGTAGACATCTCTCTCTCTTCGATCGGTTCCTCACTGCTGAGGATCGTGACTCCGTCCGATTTCGTCAACCAACTGTCTCCATCGATCCTGCCCTGTTGTAGACATAAGGGGGGTAAAATATGGGGATTTTTATTGACAAAACACTATCCCAATTTTCTCTTGGCCCCTCCATACTACAATGGCAGCCATTTTGTTTTTTTTTTGTACTTCGCGTTGTTTCAAAGCTGACGACTGTCGCGATCTTCAAAAGGCATCGGTCCGATTCATTTGAGTGTTCTATTCGTGGCTTAGGCGGACTAGGGGCGATCCACCGCCAGGACCAAGCTCGTCCCATGACCCGGCGGCGTGTATACCCCCTCAAATTTCGAGTTATTTCGGTGGGAAACGAAATATTGGGAGCAGCTACGCGACTATAGATGAAACCCAAGAAATGAGTGGCGACAAAGCAGTGAAATTGTTGTCGACTGGGAAGATGGAAGGCACGAGACCGAAGGACCGGTCTCTCATGCGCTAGTCAGACCAAATCCGTACAGCCATCGAGGACAGATCGACGTAGATTCTGAAATCGCACAGAGGACACGACCCTCAGCATTGAGGATTTACGACTCTAGGAGGAGGGAGGTGGCGTGCATTACTCCTATGTGGAGATCGGACGCTTGGACGCTAGTGCAGGGGAGTCGTTTATTGAGTAAGGCTCTAAATACCATACTTAAGCCCGCCCTCCGCTCCCAAAATCTGCGGACCGTCCAGTCCCATGTACCAGTAGCGTCGCCTATGCCCGGGGACCACGTAGAAGGGCCCAGAAAAAGGCACGCCGTACCCGCATGCTTTTTAAAGCACTAGCCACAAAAACAAACGTCAAAACGGGCGCCGTGGCGCAACGTTGAAATACACACAACATTCGTTTATCTTATCAAATACGATAATTTTGTAGCCGGAATGAAAAGGCGGAATCAGTCTCTTTCGATTCTCCGGAATTTAAGCGCATTAAATGAAAAAAATCAAATAGATAAGGATTTGTTTTTTTGTTTTTTAATAGATTTTTCTTGCTGTTGTAAATATGCATACGAAATTACGATAACAAAATGTTTATAGTGTGTGAAGTAATGATGAAATATTGAAATATTTGCCGATTCATTTGCTGTTTATCGAGGTGAGTTTTTTTTTTTAAATAATCGAATGTCTTCGTCATAAGTCGAGTTTTGGTATGTAATACGCAGTTGTAACAACACTTTTATCCTGAGACCGGTATTGGTTGGAATTTTTTATTTACTGCCCAGATAGTTGAACTGAGGTGTTTATGATTGAAGGATTACTGGTGGCCCGGAGACCTTTCCAGTTTCACCAGGACAGGTGGGCGAGCAAAGACTCAGACAGGAGAGGTGGGATTAGCTAATAGCTGCCCGAGCGCCTCCAAAGGAGATTTAACAACTCAAGAGCAACTGCTTCGCGAATGAATCCACTACCGGATCGGAATCGCGATCCGCTGAGAAGATCAGGCGGGGAACTCAGAGGGCCGATGCATGGTTACATGTCGAACTCTTTGCCGAGTTTGCCGAGTACGGTTAAGTGAAGTAAGATTCGATTTGAAGTGGTCATAGGAGCTCGTGAATATCACACGCTAACTTAAGATACCTTCAGAAATAATACCTCAATAGTATCGTTCCACACTTCCCATAGGGATGCACTAAGGTTTTTGGAATTTGGGGTCCGTGGATATCACCTGTCAGTCAAAAAAACCTTCAGAAATGGGATCGAAGCCTCAATTTCATCGTATCACGGATGTGAAGGCGAAGCAGTTACTCTTGAGTTGTTAGGTCTCCTTGGGAGGCGCTCGGGTAGCTGTTGGCAAATCCCACCCCTACTGGCTGAGCCTTTGTTCGCTCAACTGTCCTGGTGAAACTGGTAAGGCCTCCGGGCCACCACTGATTCCTCAAAAATAAAAAAGGATGTAATGGCCTTTTACATGTCTGCTTAGTGGCGGAAATAGACTGGACGATATTACTTAGCCGTATTGGTCCACAATACGTCCTACCACCAGTAAATGTCAATTAATGATTGCCGTATGCTGATACAATACTTAGAGAACGTCCATGTTTATTCTCGGGTGAATACATCAGTTCGTCTTTTGTCTTCATGTGAAGGAGATGGGTTTGTTCTATTCTTTTACTATACAGCCAATTTAGGTCTACACTCAGCCATTTTATGTTGACACTATAAAAACATTCTGATCCACACAGCCAAAACACGAACTTGGATCAATTAGCCGTATGTGAAACTGGATATTCCTCAACATACATGGCACCAGCCTCTCTCACTTAAATGTTTGGACATTTTTACTGTCCGACCAACTGTGGGCATTTATCCTCCAGGGATCCACGCTTGGGGCAATCTAATACAACTGAGACCATGATCACATTTCAACCGGCTTTATCTAATTTCAGATGAGGTCCCAATCTTCGGGCTACCAAGGTTACCCTTACATCAACCCACCGGTGGTGGAGGCACCTTCGGTAGACCCAGCATCGGCAGCAGCTAACGCCGCGCGGTGGTCGAGTATGCCACGGCGACAAGTCACACGCTCAGATAAGGAAAGGGTGGTGTTTATAAACATCCCCCAAGATTTGGATCGACCGAGTCGGATTAATGAGGTAAAGGGGTTTTTTTAATGGCTTTTATGGTCAGTAATCTTATACAGCCAAGAGCTAGTAGATATCTGCTTAGTGAGTAAGGCTAGTAGATATCTGAACGTAAATATCAAGGAGGAGTATCAAATAAACCTTTAAACATAAAATAAGACTATTTTCCTTTTTTGCACTTTTATTGTTCTTTTCTCAAATTTTCTGTATTATAACAATTTAAATTTATCTGACACCTTTTTTTACGCTTTGCTCATTCAATCGTTTTCGCCATCTTCTTTTTCTCTGTTATTCTCTTTTCCATTTCTCTTCATACAATAAGCTAGAAAATCCATAATTTCCTAGATTGTTTTTTAAACCCTCTGTAGAGAACCCGTTTTGAAGCATATCATCTCCAGTCATATACATAGATGTATCATATTTTCAGGCACAAAATCCTACAACGTCAAATGCAGCTTCATCTGCTAATGATATTACCACGGAACATCAGTTACCGGATAGAGCTGGTGGAAGCAACTTGCACCAGATAGATGACAGCGAAAGAGACAGCCAGGTATATATCGGGCGTCATATAGATTGGTCCACGGACTCTTGAAAACTGCGTTTTTGTTACGATTTATCGTGATATTAATACGTGAAGCAAAAACTTGGTACCCCTTTTTACGACAATTGCGCGGAAAGAGAAGTATGAAATTTCCCACACTTTTAGAGAATATAGAGGTGTGCACAATGTTAATATATTTTTTTAATTATGCACTCTTTACGCTTTTGTTTATTATCAAACTTTTGTTATTGTTTAAAGTCTGTGGTCAGATTAAAAATAGATTAATATTGTTTATCTTTAATATTATTTGTCTTTAGCGTAGTCTTGGCGAAATCTGTGATTAAAGAAGTAAGGTCTTTGATGATAGAACCATCATAATGTTTAAGCTTATAATTTTCATTAATAATTATGGTCGAATTTGGACCGCTTGGCGATCACTAGTTTTAATAAAGACGCAACATTAGGTGCTTAAAGAAACCGAATTGAAGGCGAGGACGGTGATGAACTGAACTGATTGACGTTGGCCTGATTTCTCATGTTGGCTAGCGGGGTTTACGTTGATGTCAACGGACTCCGGTAACCGCTTAAGACCGTACGATAAACCAAACTTATCGTTTTAGCAACATGAACATTATCTGATCGTGATAAATTTCGTGCATAGCAATAATTTTTTAATCAGATCCTGGTATTACCTAAGGTCCACTAAATCTTTGAAGTCTTCGGCAGGATCCCGTGAAAGACAATCCCGACGACGATCCAGTGGTGTACATAGATTTACCGAGCGATCCGTGCGGGGGCAACGCAGCTCATGCGAGAGAGGAAATCGAAGCCCCAGAACCGGGGTTCCTTCAGGTATTTCTGCATACTGATTTATCAGAAACCCTCCAAGGTGGCCTAAAGCATGAGACGTCCTTTATGCTCATATCGAGCGATACGACTGCATTAAAATCCTGCAGGCAGGCTCCAGTTAATTACGTACTTCACATATATACGCGAATTGCTTGCACGATGAAGAAAATGCATGATAAAAAAAAGGTGCGCGTGCAACTCGATTCACGTGCAAGAAGTGAGACTTCTTGTGCGATATGTAATATAGTGGTTTTCTTAATTTTTCATTCTTAAATAAAATTTCACTTGTAATAGAGAATGTTGTGTATAGGAGAAACGACCTAGCTCGCTTTGTCCTTTCCCTCTCTCCACGATCGAGTGGTTCGCGAAACGCTCTGTCTATTTTCTCACTCTCGCTCTTCTTAAATTGTATCTTTTCTCTCTAGCCGTAACGAAGCTGTCGCGAGTTAAATTTTACTCTCCACGCGCCTAAAGAAGTTTCACTTCAAAAAAGAACAATTACGCAGAATTTGTTTAGTTGTGTAATTACTGGTAGGGCGTTTTGTGTGCCGGCTGGTTAGACCGTCTTATCTGTTTCTGTCGAGACGACGTTACGCATTCATGGATGGGACATCAGGTTTTTTTGGTATGGGCATATTATTATGAAAAGAAGACGATCAGTATGAAATTTGACGTTAATGTGAGGAGAGGCGTCCTAAAAAGACTTGGACGGCATGGCGAAAGAGGATATGCGTGAGAAGGGTGCAAGTGCAGAATCGATATATGATAGGACTGAATGGAAATAGAGGACAAGCTGCACCAATCCCACGTAGGATAGTAAGGGCGAAAAGAAGGACGAGACATTCGGTTTAAATTACAATTTATACTTTACATTTCTCAAGATTTAAATTTCCACTGACCGTGTGGTGCAACTTCAAGACATATAGTTTCAATGCGCTCTCATGAATAAGAGAAGATCATAATTTTGGGTCGCATAGAAAGAAGGCAAGCGCGCCATGGTCAGAACTGGTTGTGGACTCTACCATGCGATAGTCACATGTGGTCACGACCTTCAGCAGTGAGGAAACGATGTAGAAGAAGAAGCTCTCAAAAGACTTTGTTCTTCCCTTTCTGTTTTAGGACACGATCTTTTACGACCCGTTCGACGATAGACGAATTGATATGCCAAAGGAAAACCCCGGTCTGCATTCCATTGGCTCCGAGACGGACAGCGCTTCGGGACAGAGCAGTTTCGTACGAAGACCGGCTCCGGAAAGACCCACCACTTTGGAGATTAACAGGATTTTAAGGCCCGGTAACGTTCATTATATGGACATTTATTTTCGCGATTAGTTTGGGCGTTTGGTGACGGCAATAGAAGAACGTGAGAACGTGAATTTGTTTTCCGTCGTATTTTTCGTGCACTAATGACGGATTGGGTCGAATTCTAAACGCGAAGAGGCTTTTTTATATTGTTGCCTACCTGATGCGAAGTGGTTACTGGAGCCCATAAATATTTACAACGTAAATGCGCCACCGACCTTGAGATATAAGTTCTAAGGTCTCAGTATAGTCACAACGGCTGCCCCACCCTTCAAGCCGAAACGCATTGCTGCTTCACGGCAGAAATAGGTGGGGTGGTGGTACCTACCCGTGCGGACTCACATGAGGTCCTACCACCAGTAGTAGCCAGTAGTAGACTTAAATGGCTTTCCTGTAATGTAAATCCAATTGCCATTCACCGCTCGATATATTATGAGAATATGCAGTGCTTATATAATTGTAATTACAGAGAAATTTGCACAGTGGCTGCAATTGCATAGAAGCCGATCTAGATCTGGATCCGCTCGAAGACTTTTCTGCGATTTCCGCGACATAATTAAAAACTACCTTCACGTTTAAACCTCGGGTTTATTTTTAACATTATATCACGTCAGACGTTTCGGTTACTTTTCATTGGTCACCTAAGTTTTCGTCGTCCGAAATTAACACAAGACCCTTTTGGCTTCAGCACCTACGCCCAACTCTCCTGTCAGCGCCGGCATATCAATCAACTCGACGCCGTCGTCGAGATTCCCTGACGGCTACCACCTCAACAGGGCAACCCCGGAAACCAGTCTGCCGTCACCGCTGCCGGTGACCGCGTTTCCTGAACCGCCACCAGCTTACACCGAGATCGACGCGACCCCTTCGCCGCTAAGTACTCCGCCGCACCCTCAAGATTCAACTCCGCCGAGGACACAAGTCATAACAGGTTAAGCCCGAAGAACTACCAAGACCTTTCCAACCAATATAAAGTCTCTCCGGAACCTGTAGCAAACCCCAACCTTTTTTTTATTTATTGCTTAGAAGAGTGGACAAGCCCACCTGGTGTTAAGTGGTTACTGGAGCCCATAAACATCTACAACGTAAAAGCGCCACCCACTTTGAGATATACGTTCTAAGGTGTCAGTATAGTTACAACGGCTACCCCACCGTTCAAACCGAAACGCATTACTGCTTCACGACACAAATAGGTGGGTTGGTGGTACCTACTCGTGCGGGCTCACAAGAGGTCCTACCACCAGTAATAAGACAAGGTGACGAAGTCCTAGTTTTATCACACAACAAGCCTTTCCGTCTTCATAGCATCTCAACAGAACTAGGCCGAATTCTACCGTCTTCCAGTAGATGCCGATTGGCTATCACTCGATGCGGTTCTGCGATAAACTTAACCAAACTTAGGAACTAATTTTGTAATTTTCAGCTACACCCATTTCCGGGGATATAGCAAACTCGTCTAGAAAGTACTTGGATTGCCACCACTGCGGCATGAGAGTACACACGCTGGTCGTGAGAGAAATAGGGCTCTTGAATCACGTCATAGCGCTGATCTGCTTTGTCCTCTGGTATATGTTTTTATTTTTTATTTCTTAAATACTGGTAGTAGGACCTCTTGTAAGTCCGCACGGGTAGGTACCACCACCCTGCCTATTTCTGTCGTGAAGGAGTAATGCGTTTCGGTTTGAAGAGTGGGGCAGCCATATATATATATATTTCGTCTGTGCGTGTGTTTGTCACTGAACTCCTCCTAAACGGCTGGACTGATTTGAATGATTTTTTGTGTATGCGTTTGGGTGGCGCCCTGAATGGCTTAGATTCACAAATCAGCCCGGCAAATGGCGCTGCAGTCGGTATCTAGGTTATTTATCTTTCCTAGAAATAACTTACATGGCAAAATAACATTTGCCGGGCCAGCTAGTAATTTACAAACTTCTTACATAATTTGCATGAATGCATTATGTTTTGACTATGTAGGCATGGCTTTGAATAACACATCTAATCTCTGCCTGTGCATGACGAAAGGCAACTAAGGGATTGAACGGATAATGGACAACAGCATTAATACTGCTACAAGCTTAAACCGAGTAAAAGCGCGCGGCACGTCAATTGAATTAAGATCCCCAAGCTCTTAAGATGTTTGGAGGGCTTTTGACCACCTGGACGGACCTCTCCATCTTTCCTTCCGGAGCAAAAAAAGTCTACTACGGGAATTTTTTTTTAGGCAATCACGCCACGTTAACTGGTCCCGTGCTAAGTTCGTAAAGAACTTATGTTACAGATGTACCAGATAACAGAAATAAATGTAAGATTTTTATTATACACATACATATATTTAATATACATCTATAGCCCTGGAAAAGACATTTTATATTTATCATACAAATATCTTCCCTTGGCGGGATTCGAACCCGCGACCCCTTTGTGTAGTGACCATGTCACTTACCACTACACCAGACGGCCGTAATTGATGAGCATCTGTTCTTCCAGCTTGCTGCCTCTCATCTGCCTGGTCTACTTATTGGACTGCTTCAAGAACCATAACCACTACTGCCCTAACTGCAACAAGGTCATCGGTTACCAACTGCCCTTCAACTACAAGAAAATCTTCTACGTTAGCTGAGAAATCTCAACCGAATGATCTCTTGTTAGACGCGAAATTGGGTACTTAACAGAGCACTCTTTAGCAATGAGATTAATTCACACTTAGACCCTATGTTCCAAAACGGAAATTTCTTATAATAATTATTAAACTGAAACCAAACCTTAAGAAACAAATCAAACAGTTAAATAGACAGAGCACGCATAGTTACGCTGAAAAGAAAGAACTTCAGACGCGACCGCTTACCGAAACATAAGAACCACTGGCCAATTTCTTATAACTATTTATTTATTTATTTTAATTTATTAGATGGGTAGACGAGCTCACGGATCACCTGGTATTAATTGATTACCGGAGCCCATAGACATCTACAACGTAAAAGCCGCCACCCACCTTGAGATATGATTTCTAAGGTCCCAGTACAGTTACAACGGCTCGCCTTTCAAACCGAAACGCATTACTGCTTCACGGTATAAATAGACAGGGGGTGGTACCTACCCGTGCGGATATACAAGAGGTCCTACCACCAGTTATGCCCACTGCTAGTAGCTTTGAGGGGTTTTGCTAGCTTCACCGAACATGTAGGCGATGGGGGGGCTGAGTCTGGAGACTTAACTAACAGCCCTAGCAAGAGCAGCGCTTCGCAGAATCTACCACCGGATCGGAATCGCGACCATTCAGAAGATCCGGCGAGAAGCTAAATGGCCTTTGTCTGTTAGTAAATTTTTTACGTAGAACCGTTCGCTTTTAACGGCTTCGACGAGAACGGTGACCGGCGTCTCGGAATGCGAGTTAACATTTTTTTTTTATTGGTTAGATGGTTGGACGAGCTCACAGCCCACCTGCTGTTAAGTGGTTACTGGAGCCCATAGACATCTACAACGTAAATGCGCCACCCACCTCGAGATATAAGTTCTACGGTCTCTGTATAGTTACAACGGCTACCCCACCCTTCGAACCGAAACGCATTACTGCTTCACGGCAGAAATAGGCAAGGCGGTGGCACCTACCCGCGCGTACTCACAAGAGGTCCTACCACCAGTAATTACGCAAATTATAATTTTGCGGGTTTCATTTTTATTACACGATGTTATTCCTTCACCGTGGAAGTCAATCGTGAACATTTGTTGAGTACGTATTTCATTAGAAAAATTGGTACCCGCCTGCGGGATTCGAACACCGGTGCATCGCTACATACGAATGCACCGGACGTCTTATCCGTTAGGCCACGACGATTACAAACTAAACTAATGACTAATTAAAAAAACTAATTACAATACTGTCTAAAAGAATTATATATCGAGGACCGAAATGATATTTGAGTCGTCTATTATCAAAGGTGGCAATCTGTGCATTTGGACAAAAAAAAATTATTGATATGTTAATACAGATTGATTTGAATATAATGGTCTCCTTCAAAGAATACGGTTCAAAACCTGCATTAAATAAAGGTTAATAGTTAACCTGTTATTTATCTAAGATGTCGTTCCGAAGAGTTTTGTGACTGCCAATGGAATACAAAGTCAATAATTCGTTTTTCTGATTTACCAATCATTGTCCAAAAGTCAGATTGCCGGCTTTAATAATAGTCGACTCATTTGGTCTAAGCGATATTTTTGCGACTTTGCAGGAGAGCCATTTAATGTTTAAACATTTGGAAAAAATATCATAACAACAAAAAACTTCTTCAGCTATTTTTGAATGGATTAAGCTCAATTGAAGTTCAATTAAAAACATTGTGACTGTTTTGATGCTGATACCAAATAAAACGCACCTTTAATTACAAAGATAAATATCGCTTAAACCAAATAGCATTTTACCGCTCGATATTGTGAATAAAATGATATTACCCATTTAACAGAGTTGTTTTATTTTTTTTATGTGCATCGGATTGTTGTGCTCTTTAGAAGGTACAATGCAGTACACATGTGTTTTATGACTACGGAGAATAAAAATTCAAACTCCAACATAATATTGCTTTCTTTCCTACCTATTCTAGTGAACTCCAGAGCTCACAGCAGATTCAACAGGCGAGTAAGTGAGCTCACGGGTACAACCTGAGATGATTTGCTAACTCTAGACCTAGCAAGAGCATTGCCTCAATGAATCTACCATCGGATCGGAAACACGACCCACTGAGAAGATCCACCGCTTAGAGGGGTGGACGAGCTCACGGCTCACCTGGTTTTAAGTGATTACCGGAGCCCATAAACATCTACAACGTAAATTCAACCACCCTCCTTGAGACATGAGTTCTAAGGTCTCAGTTCAATACAACGGCTGCCCCGCCCTTCAAACCGAAACGCATTACTGTTTCACGGCAGAAATAGGCAGGGTGGTCGTACCTACCCGTGCGGACTCACAAGACGTCCTACCGCCAGTGAACACCTGACTATTACGTGATCGTAAGCCGACATGTGCTGCAAAGGTTTTTTTAAAAGACCACAGTAATGTTAGGTACTAACAAACTTACCTATTCAATTTGATAGGTCCTCCTGTCTTCCTGACCTTCAGGGCTCGTTCCCAGAACTGGACCGCATCCGGGAGTATGGTATTCTGCGGAATCACCAGCAATTGACAGCATTAATAACACTTCTAATATCTGTGTTAATGCACAGTATGGTTTCTTTAACCCTTCGACTGCCAAGGTCATCGATGCCTTACGCGGCGCACTGAAATAATTATAATTTTTATTGCTTAAATGGGTGGACGAGCTCACAGCCCACCCGGTGTTAAGTGGTTACTGGAGCCCACAAACATCTACAACGTAAATGCGCCACCCACTTGAGATATAAGCTCTAAGGTTGCTTCACTGCTTCACGGCAGAAATAGGCAGGGTGGTGGCACCTACCCGTGCGGACTCACAGGAGGTCCTACCGCCAGTAATTACGCAAATTATAATTTTTGGTATTGCCATTTAGATGTGTTCTTGATGAGTTATTGAGTTATTCATCTATTTGTCGCGCACGTACTTAATGCAAATTTAAGACTTATATGGTTTTCTCATGGACGCCATTATCAGAACTGGACTAAATTGAAATGGAACTACAAGGGGAAGCGTCAGTTTTCTAATAAAAAAGAATCATGAAAATCGATTCACACAGTCAAAAGTTACGAGGTAACAAACGTTAAAAAAAACATACAGTCGAATTGAGAAACTCCTTCTTTTTTAAGTAGGTTAAAAATCAGTTTTAATGGTGTAAAAAATTTGGTGAAAACCGAAGGAAATAGTAGTATAGCTAACACTCACGTTTATCATGTAGAATTTTTCCGGTTCCAATCTGTAACCAAGACACGAGGGATCAATAGGCATTGAAGAAAGCCGTCAGAAACAAGCTACTTGGCCCTGTAAGTTCTTAGCGGCTTATTAATCGATAACCACGGGCTGCACCCACGAAAAAGTGTCACGTTCCGCCTGAGCCTGAGCGTGCGAGCGAGAGCGCCGAACAAGCGATAGAGACGCGCGATCGGCCCAAGCGTTGGCTTGTGATACGTTTATCTCTCTTCTCGCGTGACGTCAGAGCCAGCAGTTCGAATAGTTCCGCTGCTGACGTTACCACGTAAAACTATCGTCCGTAAGCCGATTTTACAGACATCCAATTATTATTTTTGCAAAGCTATTGTACCCCTTCTTCATAAAATTGACACTTTGGTATCCGGTTGTATGGTAATTGGCTAGTAATTGGTACGTGGTTTCCAGTCGAAACCACGATGAACACCGCCACCACCGGAGTAGAGTTCGTCCATACTACCTGGAGCCATTGCGTTCATCCACAGTGCGCTTCCAGAGGTTTTTTTTGCCTCGTACCATCCGGCTATGAAATGAGCTCCCCTCCACGGTGTTTCCCGAGCGCTGTGACATGTCCTTCTTCAAACGAGGCTTGTGGAGAGTACTTAACGGTAGGCAGCGGCTTGGCTCTGCCCCTGGCATTGCTGAAGTCCATGGATGACAGTAACCACTCACCATCAGGTGGGCCGTATGCTCGTCTGCATACAAGGGCAATAAAAAAACGATGAGCAAGAATAGATTTTCTTGATGAAGCGTCTTATGAGCTACCACGGGTCTAAGGGGGAGTCGCTATGTTTTTCTTTTGCTTAGATGGGTGAACGAGCTCACAGCCCACCTGGTGTTAAGTGGTTACTGGAGCCCATAGACATCTACAATGTAAATGCACCACGCACCTTGAGATATACCCTTCAAACCGAAACGCATTACTGCTTCCCGGCAGAAATAGGCAGGGCGTTGGTACCTACCCGTGCGGACTCACAAGAGGTTCTACCACGTTATGTTCCTTATGTTCACGTTTCATGTTCAACAAGATTCACTTGGTAAGTGATTACTGGAGCCCACAGACCTCAACAACGTAAATGCCGCCACAAGTTTTAAGTCCCAGTTTTATATAGCACACTGAATGGCATTTAAATAGCAACGCATTAATGCTTCCTGGTATGTAGTATCTTCGTGGTACCTTGAAAGCCCACAAGACCAGCAAACAGGTTTAACAGCTTACCTGTACACGGAATGATCATAAAATATGGTTATCCTTAATGGCTGATCGATGCTTCGCTTCTTGACCAAGTGTGCTGACTCTATGTGGACTCCGCGCACGACCTGTCGACAAACAGAAGCACATACAATAACGGTTTGGGTGTTATCTATATATAAATGCGTGAAGTAAAAACTTTGTATCCCCTTTTTACGAAAATTGCGCGGACGGAGGAGTATGAAATTTCCCACATTTATAGAGAATATAGAGTAGGAGTGCAGAATGTGTGTGTGAAAGGCTTCAAACCGAAACGCACTACTGCTTCACGGCAGAAATAGGCAGGGTAGTGGTACCTACCTACCCGTGGGGACTCACAAGAGGTCCTACCACCAGTATACGCCAATTGTAATTTTACGGGTTTGAGTTTTATTACGCGATTTTATTCCTTTACCGTGAAAGTCAATCATGAACAATTTTTAAGTACGTATTTCATTAGATAAATTGGTACCCGCCTGCGGGATTCGAACACCGGTGCATCGCTACATACGAATGCACCGGACGTCTCATCCTTTAGGCCACGACGACTATCAAGTCCCTTAAGTTTCCCACAATCAACTAGATATTCCGGCGTCTTAGTAAGAGTAAATCGACATAATTACTTGCTGCGTAGGGCACCGGTGACCTACACGACAGTAAGTGTAGCCAACACGGACGAAGCCGCGGACGGAAAGCTAGTGTTTTTGTTATGATTGAAAGATTACTGGTGGCCCGCAGGCCTTTCCAGCTTCACCAGGACAGGTGGGCGAGCAAAGGCTCAGCCAGGAGGGGTGGGATTTGCTAACAACTGCCCGAGCGCCTCCGAAGGAGACCTAGTCTAAGCTAGGAAAGCTAGTCTATACGAGAACAAATTACGGCTTAAAATCTCAGGTAAATACAGCCTCGACTTGTCTCGATTCATCGCAGAACTCAAAACTAATTAAAATATACACAAAAAAACACGTACATAACAAGTCTTCCACGACGCCGCCACACGCGAATTTATTATGTTGCCGAGTAACAAAATAATTTATGTGTTCTCCGAGAGTTTCTAGAATGTTAATGTTTTTTCCACGTCAGACATGTTAGCGGCGGGCATTCTGTTCTTATAGTTTTTTGATGTGCAACATCTCTATAGCCGCACGTAAAACCGATTTCTGGTGTTTCCGAATTCTGGTTCTATATGATGGTATATTTAAACAGTATATATGAGTCGACTATTATCAAAGCCGGCAATCTGACTTTTGGACAATGATTGGTAAATCAGAAAAACGAATTATTGACTTTGTATTCCATTGGCAGTCACAAAACTCTTCTGAACGACATCTTAGATAAATAACAGGTTAAGTATTAACCTTTATTTAATGCAGGTTTTGAACCGTATTCTTTGAAGGAGACGATTATATTCAAATCAATCTGTATTGACATATCAATAACATTTTTTTGTCCAAATTCACAGATTGCCACCTTTGATAATAGTCGACTCATATGCAGTAGTGTGTACGGTATGGCGACGCGTTGCCATGCGCAATCGACTGTGCGATTCTCTCTGTGTTTTACTTGAAAACAAAAAAAAATTTCGTAATATTTTATTTTATCATTATGACATATTTAGTTCCTATCACAATCTGTTCTTTTCTGCATATTACTTTTACAAAATAATTTCGATGTTCACATCTGCCAGGCGTCCCGTGACGGCTCACGTTTTTTTTTATGTTGCTGTGTTACTGGTGTCCCAGAGACCTTTCACCAGGACAGGTGGGAGAGCAAGAGCTCAGCCAGGAGTGGGATTTGCTAACAGCTGCCCGAGCGCCTCCAAAGGAGACCTAACAGCTCAAGAGTAACTGCTTCGCGAATGAATCTACAATCGGATCGGAATCGCGACCCGCTGAGAAGATCCGGCGGAAACTCAGCGGTCTGATGTTTAGGTTAGGTTGCACGTCGACCTCTTTGTCGAGTTCGACGAGTACGGTCACCGAGGTCCCTAAGCCTGCTCCTAGTGTTAGAGCTGAAGGCGTCTAATGCAAGGGTTATTGGATCTGATGGAACCGTAAGGACGTGTCTTAGGACTGTTCTCATCATACATCTTAGATACACATTTGCATGCCTTAACTAAATCGTTTCTTTTTTATTATCTTTATAGGCTGACGAGCATACGGCCCACCTGACGGTGAGTGATTAGCGACGATCGCAGAAGTCAGCAATGCCATGAGCTTAGCCAAGTTGCTGCCTACCTTATTTTATTGCGACCTCAACACGACAAAAATGTCCAGGTCTTTCTACCTCCTAGAGAGATGCGGCATATAACCCTCGCTTCACACTTCAGGTACCAGATAATGTATTTCATTTTTAAACGACTTAAAAAAAGGGGGAAGTTATCAATTCGATTGTATTTTTTTATGGTTTTTATTATTAGTTATCGATATATCGTATCAAAGCTGCTCCTTCTCGCCTGATCCAATTTATAAAGATGTCAGGAGACGTTTTGGAATTATATTTTAATGCGTATTCAACCCACGGAGTTCCTCGCCGGATCTTCTCAATGGGTCGCGATTCTGGTGGTAGTTCTAGCAAAGCTCTGGCCTTCCAGTTCCCTGTTTGTACCATTTCATCCAGGCATCATCGGAGTCGAAGCCTGTAAGTCTACACCACGAAGCGCTCAGTTAGGCATTCTCATCGTCTCGACTAAAGCCCCCCAGTGTGCTTAGTGCGAGTTTTTTAACGTTCTCGATAGCGTAAAAGTTAACATCACACGTCATTTCGGATCCTCCCGATCCACTAACGGTGCTTTTAGGTACCTCAAGCACCGGTCGTCGTTCTCGTCGAACCCGTCGCTTGCGAGGAAGGGCTCGACGAGTAAACTAACCCACAGACACAGCCCACTGAGTTTCTCGCCGGATCTTCTCAGTGGGTCGCGTTTCCGATCCGGTGGTAGATTCTGCGAAACGCGGCTCTTGCTAGGGTTCGTGTTTTTTTTTATATTTACTTATTGCTTAGGTTTGTGGACGAGCTCACAGCCCACCTGATGTTAAGTGGTTACTGGAGCCCATAGACATCTACAACGTAAATGCGCCACACACCTTGAGGTATAAGATCTAAGGTCTCAGTATAGTCACAACGGCTGCCCCACCCTTCAAACCGAAACGCATTACTGCTTCACGGCAGAAATAGGCAGGGCGGTGGTACCTACCCATGCGGACTCACAAGAGGTCCTACCACCAGCAATTACGCAAATTATAATTTTGCGGGTTTCATTTTTATTACACGATGTTATTCCTTCACCGTGGAAGTCAATCGTGAACATTTGTGTTAGCAACGTCGTCAGGTTTGAGCCCCGTGAGCTCACCTACTAGTTAAGGTTACGCTGAAATAGCCTCTCAAGGCTATCAGCTGAGGCAGGAAAAAAAAAGTTAACTAAAATTCGTATGGAATTAGAACAGCGCCCCTAGCGGCAAACGTAGGCAAACGTTCCAACTTCATACAAATTTGAGTTAACTTTAACGCGATCGAGAACGTTAAAAAAACTCGCCCTAAGCACACTCAGGTCTGTGTCCACGAAACCACAGCGCACTTCGCGGTGCAACGCAATATGTTTATTTACAAACATGACCACACCGGGCCAATGAAACGTACAGACGAGCGCGGAAGTGTTTAGTTAAATTTTACGAGACACTTCTGATTTTTAATGTGACAGTACGGTAGCCATTACACAGGGCAATCTCGATATAACAAATCGAAACGGGACAAGTAAATATTCGTTATATCAAGTAATTCGGTAAACTAAGGTTTGTTTTATTGAGGTTAGGTTGGTCTACCATTTGTAAATAACTAGGTAAAAAAAATAGGTCTATTCACCTCAACATTACTCATCTTGTAGCGAACAACTTCAACTAGTAAATAACAACACATTTTTATCAAATTACTTTCCCTTTCTATTTATTCGCTTTGTCGTTAAAAACTCCCTAACTCCCTCATATCATCATTCACACACTCCATCCATGTCTTCTTCGGTCGACCTCTTCCCCCTCTACCTTGCATTACCATTTCCATACATCTCCTAGTAGTCACATTCATCTCTTCTCTACGCATCACATGTCCATACCACGCTCGATAAAAATTAAATTAATTTTCTTGTTGACTGTACATCGGTTGAGACATTCGAGACACGATCTAAATGAATTAACACTTGCGCATATTCAACATGCAGGCATTAAATTACCGTATGCAATATTAATACTAATAGAGTCATTGTTTATATGCGTTTCTGACCGTATATGCGAATATTTAAGGTGCGGGATTTTTCTCATGTTGCTCTAGTTTTGGCAATTTTTTTATGACCGCCTGCCTGACTTCAACTCTCTTTGGAAACGCTTTTGTTGACCTTAGGTCTAGGTTGTATTGGCTTCGGTCAGGCTTTAGCTCTTGTTCGCCTTCTACGACGCCCATGAGCTAAGTTTGGGTTGGGGGTATTCTAAGGCGCCCACCACACGCTTACCTAGAGGAAGAGGATTAGGTAGACTTAAGAAGAGAGAGAGAGAGAGAGAATATTCTTTATTGTACACCTAAAAAACAATGCGAAACATTAAGCACAAAAAAGTACAATTGCCGGTCTTATCGCTAAGACAACCATCAGGTGGACAAGAATCATTTAGAAACGAATTACACGCGGTGTAAATATATATATACATATATTATATAAAAGGCAAACATCCAATCCTCCCCAGAAACAGTCAGTTTAAGTCGTCATGGCCTAAAGGATAAGACGTCCGGTGCATTCGTATCGAACGGTGCAACCGTGTTCGAATCCCGCAGGCGGGTACCAATTTTTCTAATGAAATATGTACTTAACAAATGTCCACGGTTGACTTCCACGGTGTAAGAATAACAAAACGTGTAATAAACATCAAACCCGCAAAATTATAATTTACGTAATTACTGGTGGTAGGACCTCCTGTGAGTCCGCACGGGTAGGTACCACCGCCCTACCTATTTCAGCGGTTTAAAGGGTGGGGCAGTCGTTGTAACTATACTGAGACCTTAGAACTCATATTTCAAGGTGGTTGGCGGCATTTACGTTGTAGATGTCTAT